CCTTTTCACGAGCACCTGGTGTCGTCACTGATTTAAGGTGATATTATTTTAAACCCAAAGAAATATGTTTCGGCAGATAGTCGAGAAATGGTTGTCTTTTCTCTTTCATTGAGGGGGCAGTCGGGTAGCCTGGTGGTTAAAGCGTTCACTCGTCACTCCGAAGACCTGGGTTTGAATCCCGACATGGGTGCAATGTTTGAAGCCCATTTCTGGTGTCCCCCGCCGTGATATTGCTGGAATATTGCTAAAAGCGGCATAAAACCAAACTCACTCACTCTTTGATTGACGTTATATATTTCCAAATTCTCTTGCACCTTTCCAGATAAGAACATCTGGTTTTATAATTGAAGACGCATAATAAGTAGTCTATAGACGTGCCTGAGGGTGGGTTGTCGCCATATATCTATTAAGTCCTTAAGTTTTTATAAAAATATAGATAAGCAAGAGAGAGTGTTAGAAGTGAATGAGTAATCATCCAATGCAGTCTCCACACAGAACCTAGACCAGGTTGTTCTGCCATGTCCGACAGGAGAGTGAGGACATTCTCAGGAGTATAATAGCCATGACGATTTCACTCCAGGTTCGTCATTTAGAAGCAGATGATTTTGTTGAGCACAAATACAACACAAAGTTTAATGAAAATATCTTTAATATAAACATTTCTGTGTAAGTGTTGAGTGATTCCAGACGAGAGTTCACTCCCTTGGGACAATGATATGTAAGCAATGAAATGAGTATTCTACAACAAATGATCCTTAGAAAGGTATCAGTTAAATGCGCAATATCATTCTGTAGTCATAAGCATCTCAAACTTCTAAAACTACCTTAAATCCTTGGCCAAATGCACCCCTTATATACAAATACAAAGTCTTTCTGTCAAGCTGGTCTCTCTGAAACCCATACATTATTTGATCAATATTGGTTATCTCCCTTGGACCATACATTCATCATTAGTTATCTGCCTTGATGCCATCCGTTCAAACATCATTCGTCACCACTCGCCTCTTTTCATAACCTTCAAGAAGACTCGTCCCCCTATCGATGAATGTAATGTGCGAAAATACGACAAACCAATCAGAATCTGCGTATGATTTCAAGTTCTTCGTCAAAGAATCCCTCCGAAACAATTTTTGATTTAACATATGTCTTACATCTAAAAATATACCCCAGACACAGTAAAATGTGGTCAATCATACTGTATAATTCCACATGTCCCAGTGTGCTTTAAATTGCATCTGAAATATATATAATATATGGGGAAATAAATGTGAACCATTATGCAACGAGTTGACAATGATTTAGGTATGCCCGTTTGCGCTAAGACGAAACCTGGTCGCAAAAATTACCATGAGAGGGGCACGAGTCGCTATTCGGCTTGTCCCGGAATAACACGAGTTGGTCACGAATGTTCAAACATATAAGAAACCATTACCCAGTACTACTATTCCTCACTACTGCATCCATTAGAGCAATATCAGCAATATCAGGCCTGGTTTTTTTGCAAACAATTATTTGCAAGGATTGCAGTTTTGATACAAATCAGAATATTTGTAAAGATCCTGCAAGGATATCTGTATCTCTACAGAATTTCTCAACGGTTCATGATCGGTGCAGGACAAATGTACGCACATACATGATTGGATTTAGAATATATTTACTTGTAATAGATAAAATTCATTTGTGATTTGTTTTTGAATGTCAATTTTATGTATTTTTAGCTTCACCCAATGGTTCCTCACCTATATAAGTTGTCAAATTTAGCCCTCAATTCTGCTAGATTGAGAGAAGCAGAGTGCCAATAACAGACCAAACTGCCCACAACGATTCTGTTGCCACAACAGAAATTACATAAATCTAGTTAGTACATGTGTACCCAAGTCAGGTTCAAAAAAGCACAATGAAAACTTTTTTTCCATAAAAATTGAGTCTGACTGTAAGTCAATGTAATATAATATATATATATACACATATATATATACAGTAAACTTCAGTTATAACAAACTTAAAGGGACCACAAAATTTAGTTCGTAATAACCGCAGTTCGTTATAAGCACATATACAGCATAATAACAGCAAATGGATGGAGCCAAAAAACAGTTTCTTATATCCGTCAGTTCGTTATAAATGTAGTTTACTGTATATATCTATATATGTTTTTGTTCATACACATTCTGTCCAAACTTCAAGAAACATTGTGAATTTTTTGTCTGTTGTTTAACGCAGCACTAAGCAATATTCCAGCTATATGACGGCGGTCTGTACCAGACAATCCAGTGATTGACATCATCAGCATCTATCCACAGGATTTAATGACATGCATCAACCAAATCAGCGAGCCTGACCACCCGATCCCGATCCCGATCCCGTTTGTCACCTTTTACGGCAAACATGAGTTGCTGAAGACCTAGTCTACCCTGGATGTTCACGGGTCCCGACCTTTAAGAAACATTGTGGAGTGAGAAAACAGTAAAAGAATACATGAACACAAAGCTGTTGTAAACAGACAATGTAGTTTGGTTAAAAAATATGAGTAACAATAAACCATACAAAATGTACAAGAAATAAATTAACAATCTTAAAACAACTGACAGGAATGTATAACTTGGTCACATTAGTGTTTCCATGGAAACTAATCGATAGCACCTGTTCCAAGTGTTGCATAGTTAATTGAATACAGCTGGTTTGTGGGGCAAGTGACTTGGCAAGTGACTAGGTGGGAACACCATGGCTTACAAACTGACATACATAATGAGGAAATGTTTTTGATTCACATCTTTGTCTTTACTGAGTTCTCACTACCACAAAACAAATATCTGAGTTGTTCTCACGGGACCCGTAATGAATGGGATGTCCTCGGACTTTTGTTTAGTGGTAGTAAGAACTAAGGTCTGATCTTAATGAGATTGGAAAGGAATCTTAGATATGTTCAATGATAGTATTTGGTATACATGAGAAAAAAAAGACCCACTGTGACGCAGGTCGTCGATGTAGGACCTGGAAATGCAAACGTCAATACTTGCAGTGGGTTGGTGGGTCTATTTTTTAAAAAAAAGGCTAATTGTTTGTTGCTTAACATTGCACATAGCTATAGGATGGTGCTCTGTAAATAATCAAATCCGTACTAGACAATCCAGCTATTGACCTCTTGTATGTGAGCATCGATCTACTCAGTTACCATGGTTACTGAAAAATTGTCAGGAAAAGCTTTGTTCTATGGCCATAGACAATAAATAAATTATTATCTCAAATGCACTGATGGATAATACATTTAAATTATTTTCAAATTTTTCTAATCCGGTCGGTCAAATACATAAACCAAAACATGAGGAAAGTGTTTGCTTGATGAGAAGCCTTCCTAAGCATGCCTGGTGACTGGTGAATCAGACTGACCTGTTCCAGCGAGGGTCATCGATTCCTTCGTTCAACACAAGTACAGTGAGTATTTTCCTTCAACTTCAGATACCGTATTTGACATAATAAGTGCCCAGGGCGCTCTCAAAATAAGAAATAGGGGGCTGTTATTAGAATAAAATTTTGGTGAAAAAAAAAAGAGTTAAAAGATCGTAAATTTCATGGTTTATGCTGACAGCCTGAAATGATACAAAAGAAAAGTCTGTTAGACACGAAAGATATTTTTTTCCAGAATTTCATTGCCCATGATATGGGGTACATATAACACACGAGTGCGTATTATACACGGATAAATAAGTCTTGTGTACATTGAACAATTGGAAGAGGTGCTAATTGGGATTGTTCACTGGCCAATATATTAGCAAAAATCGCTGTGGGCGCTTATTAGAGCAGGGCGCTTTTTATGTCGAATACGGTAAGTCATTGCCATGAAATACGGTTGTAAATTGGGAAGTAACTTTCTCCCTACAATGTAGTCATGCTGATGACGAAGAAATAAAAACAAAGCCTGACCAGTACCTGATACTCCCTGAACCACATGCCCTTATAAAACTTGCCAACACGAACATGCAATACACATGGATAAAAACAGGCTGTGACAAATTCTATTTGGTTTGAACATTCGTTGTTTTGTCGCTCAATGGAAAAAGAGGTTTTTTTTTAATATACATGTTCCCTCGTATTGTGAATTTATTGGAGGATGAAATTGTACAATGAAATCTGTGTGTCTTGGATACAGCAAGTTAATCTTCAAGGACTAGACATGTAAAGTGAAACCCATTAAACTCCACTGAAATAGCCACAGTCACAAGGCTTCCAAATTGTCTGAAAGAAAATACTATTCATCATTGTGACTTTACATACATGAAAATCATTTGGTTCATTTAGACATGTTGTGGCCATTTTGAATTCATCAGAATGAAACAAATATCAATAGCATTGAATAGTCAAGTGCAACAACTAAATCACATTCTCCACACACACACACACCATTCTCGGCTGCCTGCAGCGTTAAAACAAGTATGCTGTACTTGGATAAAATGATGTGAAATCTCAAGAGCATATGAGATTGACTAAAAAACTATTTCAAGTTGTGGCATAATCATTTGTCAGCTAACTGGGTAAAATACCAACACACTGAGGCAGTGATTTCAATATATTTTGCATTCATGGGGGCATCATCTTCCTGAGGCAAGAGAGTTAACTGACTATAAAAGTCCAGTTTCCACCCTTGCCGAACTAGGCTGGTTTTATGGAGTTACATTTTGGGTGGACTAACGAGTCCATGCATAGTCCAATCAAAATCGCCCACCGAAATCAAAATCCGGTTCATAAACTGTCGTGCAGATTTCGGTCGATTGCAGGATTTGCAAAGCATGCGCCAACTCATTGTCAACAGATATTTTCCAAATCTGTGCATGTTTTTAATGAAGGTGCTCACATGATTTGATGCATTTCGCGATGTAAGACCCCTTTTATCACAATATAGATCTTGATTATCAATCAGATTGTCCTGTCTGGGCGCCACCATTATGTGTGAAGCAAACGCAAGTGATATGAGAGGTGGAATCTGATTGGTACATAGGAGAGGCTTAGAAGGGGACATAACTGGTAATAGCCACTGGTGGCAGTACAATCGAGCCCAGTAATTCCAGCCAAGTTTGGCAATGGTGGAAACTGGACTTTTAAAGTTAGTTAACTCTCTTGCCTTAGGAAGATTGGGGGCATAAATGTAACAAACAAAAAGCGATGTGCAGACTGATCGCACCAATTTGAAAGCAGTGACATTATTTAGTGCAATAACGCAATACCCATTCTATTATCAACCAATCAGGAAAAAGTAGTCTGTTTGTGGCCCTGCCTTTTTGTGAGGAGGGGGGTATCTTATGGTAACACAAAAAACATTGGCTAACCAAGCAAGTGTTAGACATTATAGACTCCCATCAACCACAATTTCAAAGCAGTGACTTCTCATTATATTTGATTTGAATCAGCGCCACCCCCCCCCCCCCCCTGAAATCTCTTCACGGGCTATCGCCACCACTTGACTGCCAAATTCATGCAGTGTGAATTGATATGTACAAATAAACATACTTCCTGATGCATGATAATTTGTACACTGTATTACTTGATATATGGAGATTCTGCATTAATATTTCAACAGTATTTACATATGTGTATATATAATCTTTCCATCAATTTGTACAGAAAGAATACCTGCCAGCCATATGAAAAGAATCGGTTGTTCTTTAAAATTCTCTTGAGTGGTATATATTCTTGAACAATTGATCATGAAAGTTCCTTGATTGTTATTGTAATACACAAGGCCACAGTGAAATAACAGTGTCAACACAATACGACACACAAGAAACAATGGTAAAGAGGTTTGTTCAATGCATTAGACTGACAATGTTGACAGGACCAAGTGATAACGAGGCCTATGTGACGTCACCATGACAATCCAGCATTCCTGGCTTCCTCTCGACTCAACAGTCCCTTCAGCTAAACAATCCATGTGGCACGGTTCTGGCTAAAGGTGATATGTTTTCTACTAAAATCATCATTTTCAGCATTACAAAATTATTTCTTCATCACCAAATCACCATCTCACTAAACAGATCTACTACTGGGACTTGACACCTCTCTCTGCCAAGATCGGACAAATCCAAGCTTGAAGGTCCTGACAGGTTGAAATGTCTGGTGTGTGTGGCTCAAAAACGTATGCAGTCTTCATTTTGATGGGGCAGTCAAGTTCCACTGTTGTGACCAAGGAAAGGTAGTCAGATCTTGATGGAGAGAGAGGTACAAAACTGGAGCGAAAGATATGATTGCAATGAGATTGCCATCCGTCACAAACAAACAGTCCCAATAAAAACTACACCATGCACACAGCTTTCAAAAAAGACCAAAGCCTCCCATCAAGTCAAATTGTGGTATTTGCAAAATCAAAAAAACAAAACCTCGAAAGTATATTGATAACATATGGGAGGTAATTTCAAAGAGGCATTAACACTCACTCTCAAAATAACTTACAAAAATATATGCATGCTTTGCAATATTAGGATAATTACATTTCCACCATAACCGAAGTAAATAAAGCAATACGGAGGCCTGACTTTTAACAGACCTCCATTTCTTCACACAGCTCTGTCTTGTGTGCTTTGTGTGCAGTGACTCGGTATCGTGGACACATTACACATAGATCTGTTGGATATATTCTGTAGACCTTCAGGATTCCTCCCATTGCTTTGTGTGCAGTGACTCGGTATGGTGGACACATTACACATAGATCTGTTGGATATATTCTGTAGACCTTCAGGATTCCTCCCATTGCTTTGTGTGCAGTGACTCGGTATGGTGGACACATTACACATAGATCTGTTGGATATATTCTGTAGACCTTCAGGATTCCTCCCATTGCTTTGTGTGCAGTGACTCGGTATCGTGGACACATTACACATAGATCTGTTGGATATATTCTGTAGACCTTCAGGATTCCTCCCATTGCTTTGTGTGCAGTGACTCGGTATAGTGGACACATTACACATACCGGTAGATCTGTTGGATATATTCTGTAGACCTTCATACTTGAGCCTATAAGGTGAGCCTAATCTGAGACATAACAATGCAACACTCCATTGTTCTCACACCTCCAGTGGGGTTTGAGCAAAGCTGCAAATTTTCAGCTTCTTGTGGCTTAACACTGAATCAATATTGTCAACTTCTAGGTTTGAATCATGTGCATCACTGTTGAGACATTGCATAAATCTTCCTGGTCAGACAAGTTGCCCCCAACACCAGTGACTTGATAGACCTTAACCATCCACGTCTCAGCACGATACACTGGTCATGAACTTAAATCACATTATTTGATTTTCTACAAAAACCAGACTTAGTCACCGACGTAACATACACAACATCAAGAATCTGGTAGTCTTTATCACTGTGGCCAGTGGGTTGAGAATGACAAGTCGGGCATTGTAGAAAGAATCTGGCCAAGCTGTATCCACCCAACAGACTCTCAACACTGTCTTCTCAATACTCTCCCTATCTTAGTGTGTAGGTATCCCAACAAGCTCTTTACACTGTCTTCTCGATACTGTCCCACTCTCTACACTGTCTTCTCGATACTGTCCCCTCGATACTGTCCAACTCTCTACACTGTCTTCTCGATACTGTCCCTCTCTCTACACTGTCTTCTCGATACTGTCCCGCTCATTAGTGACAAGTGTGTAGGGCTCTTCTGGGCCCGGGTGTTCCACCTCCAACTCCGCAGGGTCGTCTAACTCTTCATCACTCTGTTCTAAATCTTTGTTTGCAGCTTGTGCATCCAGGTGGCCTTGGACCGCGACTCGTAGCTGAAACAACAAATATACAGGGCTGAGACAAACGATAGTGTTCTTCTGAACAAGTTGTAATCTCAAACCAACTTTATGCTTTCTTGTAGGCTCATTAAACTTCTGTAAGCAAAGGGGGCACCGGTGGCCAGGTCGTCTAAGGCGCCGCGATTCGCTGTGCAGAGTTGCGTCCCTTGGACACGCCAGAAACCTATGATTGTGGGTTCGACTCCCGGTTCGCCCCGATTATGTTTCTAGGTTTGTCAGCACCATACCCATGCTCGTGGGTTTCACTGAAGTGGTAAACGTCTGAGACCTGCATCACTTCGGGCTTTCCTCCCACATTTAGCTGACACGCTCTGATATAACTGGAATACTGTTAAAAGCGGCGTTAAACCCAACTCACTCACTCACTCTGTAAGCAAGGGTAACATATATGGATGAAAACCTTCTTCATTACAATTAGGAGCGACGCTTCAGTGCAGGCTGTAACATTGTTATAATGCAAGTGATGAAAGATGTTCATCCAAATATCTTATCCTTCCTCGGTTCTCCCAACTTCTAAATGCCTCTCAAAGAAGTTATACTTCTGTAGTCAGCTAGGGTACATTTTCTCTAACGATTTCAGTCATAGTTTAGTTCTGTGTGCGACAACGCCCCCTACGTCAGTGACGACAGGTGTCAGACACCATATGGGCTGAAGCTCACCTGTTTGAGTCCAACCACGCCCACCAGCTTGCCGGTGTTGGTCACGTAGGCATGGTTCAGGCCCAGCAGAGAAAACAGGGAGTGCACCTGAAACAAACAACATGAATTCAGCCTTTTACAGAGAGGATATTTGACAGTCTTGCTTGAAATATTCAAAAACAAGCTTGAGGGTTAGTACAGTTAAATTGCAGAAAAATGTTTTCATGATGTTAATCTCCCACATTTAGAGGGTTGATGGCTCTGCTTGTGTTGTGAGGTTGTCCAGCTATGTGTATTTGTACGCCTTCCCATGGTACGCCTTGGAGTAATTCTTACCTTGTGCAGTGAGGTCCTCTCCACCAGCTGGAAGGGGGCGGGGTCTATTTGTACGCCCTCCCACTGTATGCCTTGGAGTAATTCATACCTCGTGCAGTGAGGTCCTCTCCACGAGCTGGAAAGCCCTCCCACTGTATGCCTTGGAGTAATTCATACCTTGTGCAGTGAGGTCCTCTCCACGAGCTGGAAAGCCCTCCCACTGTATGCCTTGGAGTAATTCTTACCTTGTGCAGTGAGGTCCTCTCCACCAGCTGGAAAGCCCTCCCACTGTATGCCTTGGAGTAATTCTTACCTTGTGCAGTGAGGTCCTCTCCACCAGCTGGAAAGCCCTCCCACTGTATGCCTTGGAGTAATTCTTACCTTGTGCAGTGAGGTCCTCTCCACCAGCTGGAAAGCCCTCCCACTGTATGCCTTGGAGTAATTCTTACCTTGTGCAGTGAGGTCCTCTCCACCAGCTGGAAAGCCCTCCCACTGTATGCCTTGGAGTAATTCTTACCTTGTGCAGTGAGGTCCTCTCCACCAGCTGGAAAGCCCTCCCACTGTATGCCTTGGAGTAATTCTTACCTTGTGCAGTGAGGTCCTCTCCACCAGCTGGAAAGCCCCCCCACTGTATGCCTTGGAGTAATTCTTACCTTGTGCAGTGAGGTCCTCTCCACCAGCTGGAAAGCCCCCCCACTGTATGCCTTGGAGTAATTCTTACCTTGTGCAGTGAGGTCCTCTCCACCAGCTGGAAAGCCCTCCCACTGTATGCCTTGGAGTAATTCTTACCTTGTGCAGTGAGGTCCTCTCCACTAGCTGGAAAGCCCCCCCACTGTATGCCTTGGAGTAATTCTTACCTTGTGCAGTGAGGTCCTCTCCACCAGCTGGAAAGCCCTCCCACTGTATGCCTTGGAGTAATTCTTACCTTGTGCAGTGAGGTCCTCTCCACCAGCTGGAAAGCCCTCCCACTGTATGCCTTGGAGTAATTCTTACCTTGTGCAGTGAGGTCCTCTCCACCAGCTGGAAAGCCCCCCCACTGTATGCCTTGGAGTAATTCTTACCTTGTGCAGTGAGGTCCTCTCCACCAGGTTGAAGGGGGCGGAGTCTATTTGTACACCCTCCCACTGTATGCCTTGGAGTAATTCATACCTTGTGCAGTGAGGTCCTCTCCACCAGGTTGAAGGGGGCGGAGTCTATTTGTATGCCCTCCCACTGTATGCCTTGAAGTAATTCTTACCTTGTGCAGTGAGGTCCTCTCCACCAGCTGGAAGGGGGCGGGGTCTATTTGTACGCCCTCCCACTGTATGCCTTGGAGTAATTGTGACTGTTCCCATGCCTCTTGCTGCAAATAAATAACCCTCCTCTGAAGAAATATATCAATGATGACATCACAAATAAAGAAATTTCTGAATAAATTTTGCAAAACAAATAAAGAATGAGCCATGAAGTTTGTTGTTTAATGCCATACTCAGCACTATACCATCTGTATAATGGCAGTCTGTATATAATCTGATCTGGACCGGACAATCCAGTGATTAACACCATGAGTATCAATTTACACAATTGAGATATGATTACATGCTTTAACCAAGTCAGCGAGCCTGGCCACATTATCCCAATAGTGGCCTCTTATGACCAGATCATCATGGGTCCTGTGAAGTTTAAAGATTTGCCAAATCGGGTCCATTAGAAGCTCCCGTTAAGATGTAGAAAATACTCATCATCAAAGGTTTTGACCTCTTAACAGGGAACACTTTGTAAACTTAAATATTATGATGAATCTAGCAACAAATGTTATATTTGGGATAACACTTTCTTAGTAAAGTACGGATTCTCGTACTTTTTTGGGTTGAGTCTCGTCCGGGATTCAAACCCACACTTGCCAGAGTGAGGCACCTAATTGCCAGCACACAAAGTCAGCGATCTAACCCACTCAGCCACCGAAGCTTCCCCAAAAATGAAAGTCCGACAATCTAGCAGTTTATGACTGCCCTAGTTACACACAAGTCACCTATTACACTCTATAGACATAGACCAAACATGGGCACCAAGATGGAATATTGCTGGGGCAGTGATAAACAAAAATAAACAAACAATTCACTTTCCCAGTTGACACTATCAAAATAACAGCAATTCAATTCGAGCAATATTACATCAATGGGCTTCACACAAATTACCATATGAGGAATAAAACCCTTTGGTGAGCCAAGCACTTCCCCTTGAAAAGAACTGTCATGATACATGAGTGGCAAATGTTTAAAAACAACTTTGAACAACATGATCAAGACACTGGCCAATGATAGCAGCAGTATGGTTGAAACATTCCGGTGATCTGCACACACAGTATTAACAAACAATGCAAATATTATCATGGTCACTTAAACATCCAGGCACTTTGTGTCTAACCCCAATCATTGCATCCTTCTACAATTAAGAATTGGGAAAGACTGCACAAAGAGTCCCCAGCAAACACTGTCAGCATCATTGAAAATATTTTTATTGTCCATGTACGTCAACAAACTAGTCTATTCTGAAAGTTCAGACAGTTCATTTCAGGTTGTCTACACAAATTACTAAATTACCATCTATTATAAGTGTTTGCCTTAAAAAATATTTCACATAAAAGTCATCATTAGAATTTTTTTCCGCCTCAAAACATCAAATACAACTTCACAACATGTTGAAAGTAATATGAAAAGTATACATCACCCATTGAAGAAGAATTTTAGAATGGTAGACGAATTGGAAGGTCTAAATAAATCCAAAAAAACGAGAGCTCCGCTGGAAACGTCCTAGCTATGTTGCGACAGGCAGTGATGTGAAGAGTTGACCTTTGGTCACGTGAGGTCACAGGGACAGTGACGGCGGGATGTAAAAGTGGGATTACGAACAGAGCCATTCACCCAAGGACCATCGCCGGTTAGCTGTCCCAGGTTTTTTTGTCACAAGGTAAGCAGTGAATGCATTAAGGAGTAATGCAGGATAAGTAAAAAATGCAACCCTTCGACTCTCATGTTTGTCCCTTGACCAGTCCTGTCAGTCTCCCGGACAACTAGACAGGCATTTCCTGTTGCTATGGAGATTAATCTTACCTCTTCTTGCGGCAGGTTTTTCACCTTCATTGGCTCTGGTGGCTAAAATTGAAATGAAACGACTAAAGCATGCCATAACATCACGTGCCAGTTATAACATCACAAACAAGCTGTAACATCATGTGCCATCTATAACATCACATACAAGCAAACAACAACTGAGGCATAAAAGGGTGGATTATCAACAATCTCATTAAAATCAGATCTTCGTTCTCGCTATCGCTAAATAAAGATCTGAGGACATCCCATTAGGGTCATGTCAGAACGACCTTTCCTCCGAGCAATCAAAGCATCGCTTACCAGATCATGAAAGTGATAGTCGGAATGTTTTTTTTCTAATCATGCAACCTCGAAAACGTTAACACGGGGTATTCCGAACAACTAATTCCGTCAAAATTATGTGTCTATCTCTCGCTTCCGTGGGATAACCATTTGAACGGAGGAGGTGTTGCACTGCCATACAATCTCAACCATATATTAGACATTTAGGAATGTTTGTTTGTTCAGCTTTCATAATTTTAATCGAGAACTGTGTCAACATATTGTTCAAGCGTAGTCTGAAATGGAAGTCGCCAGGTTGAAACAAGTGCTGAAAAGCTGGAGAAAGCTGCTTTCTTTTTGGCTGATACGACTTCTTGTTAGTCATTTCAGTGGTCGGTCAAAGTTTGCGAAAGGTCGTTCTGACGTGACCAGTAATGGGATGTCCTCAGATCTTTATTTTGCGGCAGCGAGAACTTAGATCTGATTTGAATGAGATTGGATTAGTAAAAACTGAGGATAGGAACATCGATGCTGTAAATTCACACAGGTCACACTTTGCAACAGCAATGGTTCACACAAGCTGCAAACTGTTTAGCTTGGGTAGGTAAAATAAAACAAAAGTTCCTGGCACAGTCAATAGATAGGGTTGGAAGACTTTGTGGGAGGAAATAATCTTGTTCAAAGTGCTGGATGTATAATATTCAGGAAGTAACGTGTATGTATTTACTGTTGTGAAGGTTGTGCTGTCCATATAAGAAGCTTGCAGTGACCATAAATATGCAATGCCTTTGATCAAATACAATTAAAAATATTGCTCTTTGCTAGATTTTCATAATTATATGTTATTGTTTCAAATTTAAAGAGAATAGGTAGGTTGAGCAAACAAAAATAAATAAATAAATGTCTAGTTTATTATATCATAATCTCTGATAGTGAAGTTTGCTTCTTGTCAACCAAATTTGTAACGCCCCAAATCTAAAAATTTGTAGTCTGCCTGGCACTACGTTCATGCAGGGTCAGAGTTCACAGTTGGCTACTCGGGGGATTATGGGATGAAGACCTCGATGCCACAGCACATCAACAAGTCTGACAATGGAGGCCAACTCACCAGCTTGACCTTCTTACAGAGACTGTGGAGGCTGCCTTTCTGTAAATAAATTATAAACACTGAGTCACAAAGGTATAGTGGGGGTTCACAGGACCCGGTTCACTCTGAAGTGCAGGAAACAGAACAGGGACAATGGTTTACAGCTGTCTCAGTTACTTTGGTGCCACAGTTGGAAGAAAGTTCAACATTTTTATGAAACCCGAGAACATGCAGACAAATAAAGATCATCATTAAGGCGATTCTGAGATTAGAACTCAAATTCAGCAGATCCTGGCAGCCAAGGGAGGCCACTCTGCACGATTGAGTTAAAGGAGTGAGCGATTGTTGCTCAACACTGGCTGCATCTACAATTTAGCAGCTATTTGCGGCAAGTGTTACAAGAACAATTAGATGAGGTGAAACAAGGTTTAACATCGCGTTCAAGATTACTGCAAACCTTGACAACATTCATAATACGATGAAATAACCTTGTCCTGCTAACACAGTCTACCCGTGTGTACATTTTAGTCACCTATACCATGATGAATAGAAACATAATGGCAACAAACCGATTCTACCTTTTACATACCTGTATTGTAAATGGTCTGTCTTCAACAATACTTTCTTTTCTCTGATTGGCAAGTTTTCTGTAAAACTTATTCACATCACCTGAAATGTACAAACAGCTGGTTATCAAACAGGTACAGACAACTGAATAAACTTTGAAATCTAGTCCACATGGTCAGTACAAATATGTGGACATTCGTGACCAACTCGTGTTATTCCGGGACAAGCCGAATAGCGACTCGTGCCCCTCTCATGGCCATTTTGCGACCGGGTTCCGTCTTAGTGCAAACGGGCATACCCGAAACAATTGTCAACTCGTTCTGTAATGGTTCACATATATTTCCCCATATATTATATATATTTCATATGCAATTTAAAGCACATCAGGACAAGCGGAATTATACAGAATGATTGACCACATTTAACTGTGTCTTGTGTATATTTTTAGATGTAAGACATACGTTAAATCAAAAATTGTTTCCGTGGGATTCTTTGATGAAGAACTTGAAATCATACGCGCATTCTGATTGGTTTGTCGTATTTTTGCACATAACATTCATCGATAGGGGGACGAGTCTTCTTGCAGGTTACGGAAAGGGGCGAGTGGTGACGAATGATATGTGGAATGATGATCTGACCTTTGAGGTCGCCAGTGCTGGCTCTCCGCGGCAGGTCTTGAGAGGAGGATGACTTCTTGAGAATGGAGCGGAGCGGGCCTTGGTAGGTGTTGTAGTTTTCGGAGCTGTTCACGTTGAGGGAATCATTGGAAGGCTGGCAGGAAAAATACAACACGTTAAGCAGTTCTCATGATACATCTGTTAAAAAAATAACCATAAAAGTATGTCTTCAGATAAAGTTGTGAAACGACATGCAATGTTTCTATTAATTATCCATCACATGAACTGACATATATGATCATGCTTCCAGTTCAGAAATACAGTTAATCTTAGAAGAGAAAGTGGAGAATGAATGGAGCTTTTCACAAACCAGTTGTACATGTTATAGGTCCTAATAGTGACAACATGTACATTCACTAAAGGCCTAAACATCTAGCCTTGAGAAAGCTGTAACTCTGACAATACTGACTTGCAGGACGGTACCAGTGGGCACCCCCCAACTACCTACCACTTTCAGCATATTCAGCTGGATGTCGTTCCCATTGGATGGAGGCACTGGTGGAAGGTCATCCACTTTAGTGACCACAAATCGAGGTCGGGGTGGGAGGTCCGCGTCGGGCATGACGGCCAGGGAGGCCATCGATGGGGATGAGCGGCCTGACTCCAGGTCGTCCAGGACATCGGTCGTGAATGTCTGGTCGTAGCTGAGGTGCACCAGCAGCATCCGCTCAAGCTCGTAGCGCTGTATGGAGCCGAGGAGCACCATGGAGTCTGGGGACGGAGGGAGATATACACAGATCATACTTCTAACTACTTTCACATGACATGAAGATAACTCACCTGGTGAGTCTACAAGGGGGATATAACTCACCTGGTGAGCCTACGAGGGGTATATAACCCACCTGGTGAAGCTACTTGGGGGTATATATCTCACCTGGTGAGTCTACCAGGGGTATATAACTAACCAGGTGAGTCTATGTGGGGTATACATGTATAACTCATCTGGTGTGCATACAAGAGGGTATATATCTCACCTGGTGAGTCTACGAGGTGGTATATAACATACCTGGTGAGTTTACGAGGGGGTATATAACTCACCTGTTGAGTCTATGAGAGGTATTTAACTCATCTGGTGAATCTACCAGGGGTATATAACTCACCTGGTGAGTCTACGAGGGGGTAGCACCTAAAGAATGTGGTTGACATAAGACGATGAAGATCCCCGTAAGTGGAGTCGAAGGCGATGTAGCCGATGTCCTTCACCATGAAGTCCTCCACAAACACGTTCCAGGTGCTGAAAGTAAGCACAGACACCTGCACTGAGCAAATGTCACCACAGTCACAAACATATCACGGGTGCTGTAACATCATGGCGGCATGATCCACGTCCGTAGGGTGCACAGGCATTTTTAGCAGAGTGTGTTTCAATATATTGAATATCGTATATTAAGAATACGAATCATATCACAGAAGCCTTTGCAGTGAGTGAGTATGGTTTTACACCACTTTTAGCAATATTCCAGCAATATCACAGCGGGGGACACCAGAAATAGGCTTCACACATTGTACCCATGTCGGGATTCGAACCCAGGTTTTCGGTGTGATGAGCGGACGCTTTAACCAGTAGGCTACCCAACCGCCCCAGAAGCCTTTGCAAAACATAATGCATCGTATTCCTCATATCTGATATTTATCATCAGAAAGACAAGGGTAATAATCTTTGTATCCTATCATGTCATTCCTACTATAACCACTGTCCATGATGTAGTTTACACCTCTCTCTCAGACATAGTGCCAAATGAAGCAGGTATGTTTGTTTACAGAAATCGGGAATCTCGGATGTAAACTTATTGGGGCTTAAGGCAAATTGAACCGGCATTGTATGTCCAGTCGTTGAATATTCTTCGTTATTTTCACGAGTCGGCAAAAGTACAACAGTCATCTCTCAAACGGTGAAAATGGCCGCCCACAAGGAAATATTACTCGTTCTTACAGAAATCATACTAAGTTGGCCAGTGGGCTTGTGTTAATTGCCCAACTGAATGGTGTATGGAGCGTAATACAAGTACACCAGTTCCTTCCAGGTGACCTCAATAACATCCTTGCAGCCATGTTGACCATCCAATCTTTGTGGAAGTCTTACGACTCGCAGGAGTAACTGAATCCCTGCATTGCGAACATGGAACAGTCTGGGATTCTCCCCTGTATTGCTAACATGGAACAGTCTGGGATACCCCCCGTATTGCTAACATGGAACAGTCTGGGCTACTCACTGTATTGCAAACATGGAACAGTGTGGGATACCCCCCCTATTGCTAACATGGAACAGTCAGGAATACCCCCCGTATTGCAAACATGGAACAGTCTGGGATATCCCCCGTATTGCTAACATGGAACAGTCTGGGATCCCCCCCTAATTGCTAACATGGAACAGTCTGGGATACCTCTTGAATTGCTAACATGGAACTGTCTGAGATATCCCCCCATATTATGAACATGGAACAGTCTGCGCTTCTCCCCGTATTGCAAACATGGAACAGCCTGGGATTTTCCCCCATATTTCTAACATGGAACAGCCTGGGATTTCCCCCCCATATTGCTAACATGGAACAGTCTGGGGAACTGCCCGTACCTTGACTTGCTGGACACGATGTCAGGAAGGTAGGGCAGTCTCTTCAGCCGGATGATGCTGTCGTAGAAGGACGGCTCAAACAGGTTGGCCACGGCATTGGCGATTAGCACGGACAGCTGCAACATGGAATGTGGGAGACATTCTTCAACACAACTCGAGATACTACTTTCACAAAAATACTCTTTGCCAACTGTTTCACAACTAGGCATTATAACTCAAAAAGCGACATAATTTATCGTTGTTTGGAGGACAATACCACTACGATTTACAAACTATCTAGTTGGTGTTGAGTTAGATTCAGAGGGCAAATGCAATGATTTGAGAAAAAGGAGTGAGTGAATGTTGTTTTAGGCCATCATGATAAAATGACATATGAACCAAGCCTTCCAGTCTGGCCACCATTTAAGTCACCTCGGCAATGCAGGACAGACATTACCCTGGAGCCACAGAGGGGTTGATTCAAGAGGAAGACACATTTGACTCATGACACACACAGAATGTCACTAAGGCAAGGATGACACTGTGATCAAAGATAAGTCACATGTGTCATGGTTCAGAATATTATTTGCTTTGATCAGCAGAGCCACTTATTATCCAAAACTGACTTCCACTTGAGATAACGCTTGGGTGAGATCACACAATATCTCCTGCAATAAAACTGCATCATAGTGCTTTGCAGACTATTGTGACATCATTGGTTACGATGACATGTCTCTGCCTCTGAAGCAGGTCAGCTGTTCTTTTTTAAATTGAGGACACTGGTTCTTACTATTCTCAAACCGAAAAAGTTGGAAGAATGGTTTTGGAAGATAAACAGAATCTCATCCTTGTGTCTTTTGATATTAAATATATCAACACTTGTCAAAAAAAGTTAAAAACTGCTCTGCAAGCGTCTGATGTAAACATTCATCAACTTGTGTTGATGTATTTGACACCAACAGACACTGGGTGAGGTTCTCTACATGTAAACCATTATGTTATTAACCTGCTACTCGTTCTCCAACACACGGAACAGAACGAGGAAGCAGGACAAGGACAACGACTTACCACTGCAGGGAGAACATGGCTGATCTGCCCCGTCAGCTCAAACACAATCACAGCTGTAGAGATTGTCCGGGTCACGCTGCCCGACAGCGACGCAGCACCTGAAGCAGAAGTAAGAGTTATGAAAGAACTAACTGAAGGTATATGATTACAGTAGTGGTGGGACAGTCGCGCTGGTTCCTTCTGTACGACAGTTTGTGGTGGGACAGTCGCGCTGGTTCCTTCTGTACTACAGCTTGTGATATGACTGTGGTGCTGGTTCCTTCTGTACGACAGTTTGTGATATGACTGTGGTGCTGGTTCCTTCTGTACTACAGTTTGTGGTAGTGCTGTAGTGCTGGTTCCTTCTGTACTACAGTTTGTGGTAGGACTGTAGCGCTGGTTCCTCCTGTACTACAGCTTGTGGTAGGACTGTAGTGCTGGTTCCTTCTGTACTACAGTTTGTGGTAGGGCTGTAGTGCTGGTTCCTTCTGTACTACAGCTTGTGATAGGACTGTAGCGCTGTTCCTTCTGTACTAAAGCTTGTGGTAGGACTGTAGTGCTGGTTCCTTCTGTACTACAGTTTGTGGTAGGGCTGTAGTGCTGGTTCCTTCTGTACTACAGTTTGTGGTAGAGCTGTAGTGCTGGTTCCTTCTGTACTACAGTTTGTGGTAGGGCTGTAGTGCTGGTTCCTTCTGTACTACAGTTTGTGGTAGGGCTGTAGTAATGGTTCCTTCTGTACTACAGTTTGTGGTGGGACAGTCGCGCTGGTTTCTTCTGTACTACAGTTTGTGGTAGGACTGTAGAGATGGTTCCTTCTGTACTACAGCTTGTGGTAGGGCTGTAGCGCTGGTTGCTTCTGTACTACAGTTTGTGGTAGGGCTGTAGTGCTGGTTCCTTCTGTACTACAGTTTGTGGTAGAGCTGTAGTGCTGGTTCCTTCTGTACTACAGTTTGTGGTAGGGCTGTAGTAATGGTTCCTTCTGTACTACAGCTTGTGGTAGGACTGTAGCGCTGGTTCCTTCTGTACTACAGTTTGTGGTAGGGCTGTAGAGATGGTTCCTTCTTTACTACAGTTTGTGGTAGGACTGTAGCGCTGTTCCTTCTGTACGACAGTTTGTGGTAGGACTGTAGTGCTGGTTCCTTCTGTACTACAGTTTGTGGTAGGGCTGTAGTGCTGGTTCCTTCTGTACGACAGTTTGTGGTAGGACTGTAGCACTGGTTCCTTCTGTACGACAGTTTGTGGTAGGACTGTAGCGCTGGTTCCTTCTGTACGACAGTTTGTGATATGACTGTAGTGCTGGTTCCTTCTGTACTACAGTTTGTGGTAGGGCTGTAGTGCTGGTTCCTTCTGTACTACAGTGTGGTAGGACTGTAGCGCTGGTTCCTTCTGTACTACAGCTTGTGGTAGGACTGTAGCGCTGGTTCCTTCTGTACAACAGTTTGTGGTAGGACTGTAGAGATGGTTCCTTCTGTACTACAGCTTGTGGTAGGACTGTAGCGCTGTTCCTTCTGTACTACAGCTTGTGGTAGGACTGTAGCGCTGGTTCCTTCTGTACTACAGCTTGTGGTAGGACTGTAGCGCTGGTTCCTTCTGTACTACAGTTTGTGGTAGGACTGTAGCGCTGTTCCTTCTGTACTACAGCTTGTGGTAGGACTGTAGCGCTGTTCCTTCTGTACTACAGTTTGTGGTAGGACTGTAGCGCTGTTCCTTCTGTACTACAGTTTGTGGTAGGACTGTAGCGCTGGTTCCTTCTGTACGACAGTTTGTGGTAGGACTGTAGCACTGGTTCCTTCTGTACGACAGTTTGTGGTAGGACTGTAGCGCTGGTTCCTTCTGTACTACAGCTTGTGGTAGGACTGTAGCGCTGGTTCCTTCTGTACGACAGTTTGTGGTACGACTGTAGAGATGGTTCCTTCTGTACTACAGCTTGTGGTAGGACTGTAGCGCTGTTCCTTCTGTACTACAGCTTGTGGTAGGACTGTAGCGCTGGTTCCTTCTGTAATACAGCTTGTGGTAGGACTGTAGCGCTTGTTCCTTCTGTACTACAGTTTGTGGTAGGACTGTAGCGCTGTTCCTTCTGTACTACAACTTGTGGTAGGACTGTAGCGCTGGTTCCTCCTGTACGATAGCTTGTGGTAGGACTGTAGCGCTTTTCCTTCTGTATTACAGTTTGTGGTAGGACTGTAGCGCTGTTCCTTCTGTACTACAGCTTGTGGTAGGACTGTAGCGCTGGTTCCTTCTGTACTACAGCTTGTGGTAGGACTGTAGCGCTGTTCCTTCTGTACTACAGCTTGTGGTAGGACTGTAGAGATGGTTCCTTCTGTACTACAGTTTGTGGTAGGACTGTAGCGCTGTTCCTTCTGTACTACAGCTTGTGGTAGGACTGTAGCGCTGGTTCCTTCTGTACTACAGCTTGTGGTAGGACTGTAGCGCTGGTTCCTCCTGTCAGCTGACTTGGAATTCAACCATATACATAATCGCTCAACATCAAACCAAATACATACACATGTAATGTCCAACAAAACATGTTTCCATCAGTGCTAGAGGTTCAAGTGATGCCACTGCTTCAGACCCTGAGACAGCTTATGGGACCATTGACACAGAGGAGACACTGGTTCTGCAGGAATCAGTTTGAAGTAGAATATTCTGCTAAGGTTACTGTTCATTCCATCAAAAGCAAACTAAATCAAGGGTCCGTTATTTTTCATTTTCCAGTCAGACTGTCTAGATTATAAACTTACAAATCCTCAATAATGTTTTGCAGCACAAATCTAGTGGACAATATACAAATTTATCTTGACAACATGTCTTAATCTGCCATTTACAATGTTACAATGTTAAAGAATTAAAACACATTAAAACATATAGAAAACAGCTGTTGATTAAGCTGAGGTTAACTTGTGCAGTGTCATGACTTTACTTGTAAACAACGTATAGCATTTTGCCTTGTAACAGGGAGCAAGAGATTCACTGTCCTGCTCAGAAATATATTTATCAACTTATTTTATCAATATCATGTGAACCAATGAGATCTCAACATTCTGACATGGAGGTAAGGTACCGTATTCAACGTAATAAGTGCCCAGGGTGCTCTCAAAATTAGAAATAGGGGGCTCCTATTAGAACATCATTTTGGTGAAAAAAAAACAGAGTTGAAACATACATTTCGTGGTTTATGCTGACAGCCTGAAATGTTTATGTACGACAGATATATTTTTCCAGAATTTAATTGCCCATAATTAAGGGTGCATATAACACACGAGTACGTATTATACGCGAATAAATAAGGTTTGTGTACATTGATCAATCGGAATAGGTGCTTATTGGGATTGTTCACTAGCCAATATATCAGCAAATATTGCCGTTGGCGCTTATTGGAGCGGGGCTCTTATTACATCGAATATGGTATGTGTATTTGTGTAAAGTACCAGCACAAATCCAGCCGACCAGCACATGTGAAACCTGGCCACACTGCAGACCAGAGGGTCACCTACCTACAACAGCATAACCTCCTGGTACTATCTTCCTTAGGACATCTCCCGACTTGATGCCACCCGGGAACCAGGCCGCCATGCTCTCTCCCACCAGACGACCGAACGCAGCACCTAAACACAGGCAGAGGTATGAACACAGACAGAGGTATGAACAGATGCAGCCATGCTCTCTCCCACCAGACGACCGAACGCAGCACCTAAACACAGGCAGAGGTATGAACACAGACAGAGGTATGAACAGATGCCGCCATGCTCTCTCCCACCAGACGACCAAACGCAGCACCTAAACACAGGCAGAGGTATGAACACAGGCAGAGGTATGAACAGATGCAGCCATGCCTTCTCCCACCAGACAAAAACAATCCAATACTGTCAGTCTCATCTGTTTGTTTGTTTTTTTATTTGATGTTTAACACAGCACTCAGCAATATTCCAGCTATATGGCGGCGTCTGAAAATAACCGAGCCTGGACCAGACAATCCAGTGATTGACATCATGAGCATCGATCTACATGATTGGGATACGATGACATGCATCAACCAAGCCAGCGAGCTTGACCACCCAATCCCGTTTGTCGCCTGTTACGGCAAGCATGGGTTGCTGAAGACCTCTTCTACCCAGGATGTTCCAGTCTCATCTGAATGAAATGGTCTGAAGGTGATACTTTTGTCACTTACCTACAGTGAAGACAGGCACAAATATTCCGGCGGGAATGGGGAGAGTGTTTGAGAACACACCCATCTGGAACTGGAAGTACAACAGGACACTCTTATCAGTGCTGCAGACAGTTCAGGTGTCTTCAAGTACAAATGAAATTATATGATGACTGTGGTATCTGAATAATCAAGAAACTTCAAAATTTCTGTCTTACATGATTTGCCCTCAACTAAAGAAAACCCACACCTAACTTTACTTTATGCAATCTGTGCTGAGATAATTCTGCTTTCTGTATCTCAAACATAGCATTTGAGCATCCTAGAACACAGCAGATCATCTGATAAATATTTATCAGCATCATTAACAATGATTAAAGTATATGTTATGTAGAGACACAGTGAATGGTGTGTAATGCTGCAGGCAGCAATATTACAGCCATATTTTGGCACCTATAAATACATGAGTCTGAACCAGTGAACAAGCTGAACCAGTGACTGAAAGCATGAACAACCCACGGCTGGGTCAAGATGATACACAGTCAGCCAAGTCACAGGGTCTGAACACCGGACCCCTGCTCTTCAGACAAGCATTAGGTACAAGAGGACCAGTGAACAAGTTGAACCAGTGACTGAAAGCATGAACAACAACCCACGGCTGGGTCACGATGACACATAGTCAGCCAAGTCACAGGGTCTGACCACCAGATATTCCGCGGTATAACGTCCGCACTGCATTGTCACGCTCGAGACGTTCCACGGTATAACGTCCGCACTGCATTGTCACGCTCGAGACATTCCACGGTATAACGTCCGCACTGCATGGTCACGCTCGAGACATTCCACGGTATAACGTTCGTACTGCATGGTCACGCTCGAGACATTCAACGGTATAACGTCCGCACTGCATGGTCAAGCTCGAGACGTTCCACGGTATAACGTCCACACTGCATGGTCATGCTCGAGACGTTCCACGGTATAACGTCCACACTGCATGGTCACGCTCGAGACGTTCCACGGTATAATGTTCGCACTGCATGGACACGCTCGAGACGTTCCACGGTATAACGTCTGCACTGCATGGTCACGCTCGAGACATTCCACGGTATAACGTCCACATTGCATGGTCACGCTCGAGACGTTCCACGGCATAACGTCCACATTGCATGGTCATGCTCGAGACGTTCCACGGTATAACGTACACACTGCATGGTCACGCTCGAGACGTTCCACGGTATAACGTCCAGATTGCATGGTCATGCTCGAGACGTTCCACGGTATAACGTCCACACTGCATGGTCATGCTCAAGACGTTCCACAGTATAACGTCCGCACCGCATGGTCATGCTCGAGACGTTCCACGGTATAACGTCCACACTGCATGGTTATGCTCAAGACGTTCCACAGTATAACGTCCGCACTGCATGGTCACGCTCGAGACGTTCCACGGTATAACGTCCACACTGCATGGTCACGCTCGACACGTTCCACGGTAAAACGTCCGCACTGCATGGTCATGCTTGAGACGTTCCACGTCCCTACTCACTGTCATGATGATGAAGAGCACCAGCGTGACGTAGATGTTGGTCTGTGGGTGGTGCCAGTGCTGCAGGATGGCTTCGTCGTCCAGGTCCTCTGCCTGTCCCGTTGTCCACGTGATGTTGCTGAACAACTCATTGATGGCTTGACGATTGGTCAGCTGGAACAGAAGATATATTCCCATATTAACTGTAATAGTGGATGTTTTCCTGTATATACTGGGACTATTTAGCTAGAACAGTGTATATATTCCTATATCAACCAGGAATTGTCAGTTGGAACAGCTTATCAATCAGATATTTCAGGGTTAATGGCTGAACACTAAAACCAAAGAATCGTCGGTGAAAGGGATTAAATAATTCAGCACTCACATGTCCAGCGAAGAACTGGCCCAGCCCTGGAGGGAATGTGAGAGATGAGATCACCAGAGCCACCAGCCCGGGGTAGATAAATCGACTGCAAACAGGAAGTGGGTGAAACATTACATAAAATACAATCCTACCTCAACTTTGAAGAATACTCTATTCCGCATCGCCATCAGAGGTTTCAAATTGCATGGGAATTTGGTTAAACACTGCTGCGCAGTATATCACATATAGCATGGCATGTCAGCTGGATGTGGAAGTCTAAAGTGGTGTATACAACTTTGGTGAAACTACGAATATAGAAATATAATTGGGACGAATCTGGAATTTGGATCCCCGATTATAGTTTCATGGGCTGCTCAAGGGCTGCAACTCTGCACAGTGAATTGGACCATCAGTCTCCCCGTTAGAGAATCTACTGATGATGGGGATACAGTGACAAAACTTCCGAGACTACCAACCCGAACATGGTTCCTTACATCAGGTTCAGTAGAATTTAGATTTCTGATGTGGACTTTTATTAACCAAGATTATTGGACCAAACTTAACTTTACTAGACTCAGGCTTGGGACCAGTGGCTAAAGTAGCAGATTGATCACCTCGCCTAAATGCAAACTTCAAAATGTTCTTATTCATGGCCTCTCTAACACAATAAAGCTGTCCTACTGCCCCAGGCAGTGTCTACTTCATCACTGAGGATACAGACAGCTGTCGGTAACCATGTCAACACTGCAGTAATGACAAATTACATATAGCCCCGAGGGAGGCCTACCTTCAGGAGAAACAAAACATCAATATTTACTTGGAAGATGACATGTTATAAGAGGCCCCTTCAACAGGAACACACTGACTGGAGACCAACTCCAGATGAGAGAGTTCCCACAAGGGGAGAGCAGCCCCTTCCACAGGAACACACTGACTGGAGACCAACTCCAGATGAGTGAGTTTCCACAAGGGGAGAGCGGCCCCTTCTCCAGGAACAGACCGACTGGGGACCAACTCCAGATGAGTGAGTTCCCACAAGGGGAGAGCAGCCCCTTCTACAGGAACAGACTTACTTGGGACCAGTTCCAGATGAGTGAGTTCCCACAAGGGGGGAGCAGCCCCTTCTACAGGAACAGACTGACTGGAGACAACACCAGATGACTCAGAACATATGAGTGTCTCAGAACATAAGATGAACAAGACACAGGTGCCCCAGAACATAGGATGCACAGAGACACAGATGTCCCAGAACATAGGATGCACAGAGGAACAGGTGTCCCAGAACATAGGATGCACAGAGGAACAGGTGTCCCAGAACATAGGATGCACAGAGACACAGGTGTCCCAGAACATAGGATGCACAGAGGAACAGGTGTCCCAGAACATAGGTGGAACAGGTGTCCCAGAACATAGGATGCACAGAGACACAGGTGTCCCAGAACATAGGATGCACAGAGACACAGGTGTCCCAGAACATAGGAGGAACAGGTGTCCCAGAACATAGGATGCACAGAGGAACAGGTGTCCCAGAACATAGGATGCACAGAGGAACAGGTGTCACAAACTCTCAGACAAATAATATCAACAATGGTAAGCACTTACTTTTTCTGTAAAAACAAGGATATTCTCTTATGTCTTCTCATCAATAAGATTATCTTCCTGTGCATTAAAATGAACAATGCCCCTCCAAATCCACAGGCGACTCTGAAACACAGGAAGGAATAGATGCAGATAGATTGTTGACTCAGCAACTCAGGAGACACAATGTAACATGCGTACACTTGAAGTTGTCAACCTTTAGGTGTGATGTACCCTGTGTGTGGGCCCATGTACCCTGTGTGTGAGCCCATGTACCCTGTGTGTGAGCCCATGTACCCTGTGTGTGATCCCATGTACCCTGTGTGTGAGCCCATGTACCCTGTGTGTGAGCCCATGCACTGTGTGTGAACCCATGCACCCTGTGTGTGAGCCCATGTACCCTGTGTGTGAGCCCATGTACCCTGTGTGCGAGCCAATGTACCCTGTGTGCGAGCCCATGCACTGTGTGTGAACCCATGCACCCTGTGTGTGAGCCCATGTACCCTGTGTGTGAGCCCATCCACTGTGTGTGAGCCCATGCACCCTGTGTGTGAGCCCATGTACCCTGTGTGTGAGCCCATGTACCCTGTGTGTGAGCCCATCCACTGTGTGTGAGCCCATGCACCCTGTGTGTGAGCCCATGTACCCTGTGTGTGAGCCCCTGTACCCTGTGTGTGAGCCCCTGTACCCTGTGTGTGAGCCCCTGTACCCTGTGTGTGAGCCCCTGTACCCTGTGTGTGAGCCCATGTACCCTGTGTGTGAGCCCATGTACCCTGTGTGTGAGCCCCTGCACCCTGTGTGTGAGCCCATGCACCCTGTGTGAGCCCATGTACCCTGTGTGTGAGCCCCTGTACCCTGTGTGTGAGCCCATTTACCCCGAGCCATCTTCCCAACATTCATTCACACAGGCCCGGAATATATGTCCGCAGTTTCACTGAGTTGGCAAAACTCGTAGGAGACAACGTAAACGAACCGAGTTACTTCCCTTTACCCTACGTACTGGGATAACATGACAAAGATATTGTGTTTCTATGATATTACAAATGTGTATTTATACAGCGCCAGCCGCCATACATGTTGTGCATGCTGAGAGTGCTAAAGTCTGCACATATAATACTTGTGAAACAGATGAGTGTTCAGATGAGGTGATAGCTGAGACTTGAACATGTCAATAGTTGGAGATGGATTTATCGTAGTTTGATCCATAATTCTAGGATGGTAACACTGAAAGATTCATTCCATAATTGATAGATTTGTGATGTGGAATTGACAAGGGTGATTTTCCAAGCATAGTGACAGGGCCCGATTTAGGAACTTGATTAAACTGCACCAGGCGTTGTTCTCATTAAAACAATGTTGCACCAAACAAAACAAGTTGCACCAAACAAAACCAGATTCCATAAATTAATCAAAGTTAAAACATACCCTGGTCTGCTGCCAGTGTCACATAAAATGATGATGCATTGCTGTAAAACGTAATAGGAACGTGCACATAATCTTAACGTACCCACAGTTTGATGACGTCACACCTAAGAAAGACAAATTACAAGTAACACAGACATTACTGATATAATTTGGTATCAGAGGTATTGAGTTCAAAGACTAAGTCTCACTTGTCCACACAAAATCTGACACAAATTTGAAAGTTTTCGATATGCACCAGGTGCATGTAGATATAAATATTAGGTTGCATTTTTCAACAACAGGCTGCACTTGTGCAAATTTCATGTAGCTAAATCGAGCCGTGAATGACCTCTGGGTCTTGTCCTTGTCCTGTAGACTGACCCAGGTGGTGTGTCTAGTACGAGACTCTAAAGAAGGTCTAATGCGTCTACTACATCCGCTCCTGTGCTACCTACCCTATAGCAGCAAAAGCAATCAACTCCAACGCATCAAACGGAAACTCAGTACGCAAACTAGTCCTGAATACGGCAGTAATTGTTTCTGGAAACAAAAACATTTTTTATAGATATGAATGATTCTAATAGACATCCAATATTTAAAAATCAAACAAATAAGCTGCGATACATTTGTACTAAATGTTACCATTCGTATACACTCACAAAGGACAAAGCTGAGACGACTGTGAAGTGAGACTATACCACTATAACAGCAAGATCTGACCAATGCATCCACAAGGAGTCAAGTCAGGTGAACACTGAGTGACTTTCAACAACAAAATTCAAATGTAGAATGTAAGATTTTTTCTAGTTATGTCATCTACCAGCGACCAGTCTCAAATTATACAGGAAATTTTCAGTTTCAATGAATATTTTCTGAAAGGGAGGGTTTTTGAATATTCCAGTCTGGATTAGTGGGATTAGATGTCTGGATAAGTGGGGTTAGATGTCTGGATAAGTGGGATAAGATGTCTGGATAAGTGGGGAAAGAAGTCTGGAAAAATGGGGTTAGATGTCTGGATAAGTGGGGTAAAATGTCTGGATAAGTGGGGCAAGATGTCTGGATAAGTGGGGTTAGATGTCTGGATAAGAGGGGTTGACTCCACAGACGCCAGTGTAATCAGGTAGAGGCAGCCTCACCTTCATCCTTGAACCACAGCGCCAGCAGTCGGAATACCAGGGCGCCACAAACGGCAGAGAAAAATCCTCTCCAGTAGTTCCTCACGGCGAAGTATGTGGCAGTTACTTCAATACTAAATAGCACACCTGTTAAAACAATTTAAATTGAACTCATTCTGCCTCAGATCGACAGTAACATCTTTTGGTGAAGACTTTATCTTTATTTGTTCTTGTATCAGTGAAATACAAGCACCTTTGAGAAACTAAAGCAATGATAAGAATTATGATAGCCTGATTAAGCAACTGGTATATTTTACTTTGTAAATTTTGTATCACATATTTCCTTGACCTTCGGATCAATACCAGTCTGTGATTGATTGATTGAGTGAGTGAGTGAGTGAGTATGGTTTTATGCCGCTTTTAGCAATATTCCAGCAATATCATGGCGGGGGACACCAGAATTGGGCTTCACACATTGTACCCATGTCATGGAATTGAACCCGGGTCTTCGCCGTGACAAGCCGACGCTTTAACCACTAGGCTATCCGACCGCCCCATACCAGTCTGTGAGAAAGCCTTAATAAATCCATGCCGTACAACAACATAGGTTACATCACTGCTTCAAAAGGAACTGCAAGCTTACAAAGTAGTCTGTTATTGACATCTTCCCGAGGCAAGGGAGTCAACTGACTGTAGTCCAGTCTATACCCTTGCCGAACTGGGCAAGAATTTCGAGACTCGATCTTGGCGCCACCAGTGGCTATTACGAGTCATGTACCTTCTATGTCCCTCCTATCGACCAATCAGACTCTACTTCTTATATCACTTGCATTTGCTTCAAACAAAATGGTGGTACCCAGTCAAGACGATCTGATCAATAATCAAGATCTTTATTGTAATAAAACTGGTGCTACCTCGTGAAATGCATCAGATCACTTGAGGACCATGTTTTCCAATTTTAATTGCACTAAGCATAGACTCATTAGTCCAGCTCCAAAATGTAACTCCAAATTCCAACCTAGTTTGGCAAGGGTGGTAACTGGACTTCTATAGTCAGTTAACTCCCTTGCCTCAGGAAGACGATCACTGAATATTGTCTGAATGAATTCTCTCCAACTCTACTTCAATACATGATCATTACAACACTCTTACCTCCGATGGGAGCAGCGAACGTGCCCGCCACCCCCACGGCACAGGCAGCTGCCAACATCTCCGACCGCCGTGACTCATTCTGTCAACAGGAATATGCATACAAAGACTGCAACGTTGCAAACACCAAGTAACATGTTTATCATGGTTTATCTCAAGCGTTTGTAAAGAATTATTATCGTCATGAATTGTTGCGTATCTTTATACACAGAAAATAGAAGGATTTTTAGACTAATCTTTATTTGTTGATACATACTCACTGCCAAAAGAAACACGAATACCACACATATTGGTTAATATATGAAGAATTACTCACATTTAAGAGATATTAGATTGTTTTGACGTACAAACATGTATGTATGTTGTGTGAACCAGTGCTGTTGACGCATCACATGTGACGTCGTAGATCCATGACTTGAGTTGCACCATTTGTCTCGTGCAGGATTAAGTGTAAAGTTTGGAAGTCATGTGAATATCATGATAAGAACAAAGTTATTCAGTAGTAATACTTGATTGTTAGTTTTGTCATTAAGTGGTACACTTTGGAAACATCTGTTTCTATAGTTCGCGTTTCTTTTGGCGGTGTAAATATGCGTCTGTATGAGTTCCACTCACCTCAAATATCCCTCTAAATGAGAGAATCATTTTACTCAATAACGTGGCCACAATGCTGGCAATATGTACAAAGGGGCCCTGAAAAGAGAAGCACAATATTTATTTTCTAGTAATAACTATGTGTTGGATACTCTGTCATATATGCTAGATGTTTGCAGATACATTTTGTAATAATAAATAATAAAACAATTCACAAACAATTCTTATTATCATGATTATGCTACAAACAATTATTCAGGACCACAACATGAGTCAGAATTTCTGAAACAAAACACTGAGGTGTCAACCCTTTTTGGTTCTCTGGATGCCGAACCCTGTCAAGTGGTATTTCGGACCCTGGATGCCATCGAATGTATATCTGGTACACGGATGCCAATATTTCGATGTTGACATTTATTTTCTACTTTTTTCCTTGCAAAGAGTGACAAATCAAATATTTAGCACGAAGCTCGTGAGCTCAGATTATAATGCACTTTGTGTGACATTAACTTGTATCAGCTGTGTACACAGATATAACTCAAGGGTTCCTTAACTGGATGCCAAGACAAACTAAGTGGTATGTAGGATGCCCTATGCTCAGGCTTAAAGGGGAAGTGTACACGCAAAAATCACTTTTTATCTTTTTCTAAACAAAACGCAATTTTAGAATTAATTAGTATCTGTGTTTGAAAATATACACTCATTTTTTTCACAGTGAAAGTAGGAAGCTCACAATAGTGTGAAAATGATATGCCGTTATGAGGCCTTCGTTTTTCGAGCTAAACAGGCCTGAGTTATCCCCCTTAGATTATGACGTAATTGGTGCCAATTCAACTGGGTCCCTGTCTATTCTCAACGCAAAAGATATCAAGTACCAGTTTGCGGTAAAACAACATGGCCTACGACACATTCCGGCGCAGTGGTGACTCAGCATAACACTATGCTGGCTGGCATCTGAGACGCTAGAATCACACACCTGTACCTACACCACATGAAGCGGCTCTAACAAAGCATGATGACGTCATAATGTTTATCAATTGGCACCAATGACGTCATATTGGAAGGGGCATAAGCCATGGTGTTTTTGTTGTGGAAATAGAACACTTGGTAAATGTGAAAAATATAAATCGTTTTAATGCGAAAAATATGTTGATTAATTGTGATATTTTTATATTTTTGTCTATGACACTTCTAGGTTAACACTTTTAATGTGGAAAAAGTACAAGAAAAATAGGTTCATTTCCGTGTGAACTTGCCCTTCAATAGAACTGCACATGTGTGAGGTGGGAAATCGTCACTTCTTTCCAATCACCCTCCTCAACTAGATGCCGATATTTTGGGGAGGTGGGAGGGATGTAATTGAGGCAGTATTCTTAAAATCATACACAATAACTAATTGTCAGATAATTCCTTTGACTCTCCTGCCTCTATTACATCATAGCCAGAATACACCAGAGGGACCAGTGGAATCTGGCATCTTGTGTGTGTTTGTTGTTGTTGTTTAACGCCACACTCAGCAATATTCCAGCTATATGATAGTGGTCTGTAAATAATCGAGTCTGGACAGACAATCCAGTGATTGACATCATGAGCATCGATCCACGCAATTGGGATACGATGACATGCATCAACAGAGTCAGTGAGCCTGACCACCTGGTCCAGTTAGTCGCCTCTTACGACATGCATAGTCAACTTTAACGGCAAGCATGGGTTGCTGAAGACCTGTTCTTCCCTGCTGGCATCTGGTATCCCCAGATAGTTGTCAGCAGTGAAGCAGGAAGATCGGACAGAGAGAAGTCTCCATGATCTCACTGCTTCTCACAGAGCTTCCCACTGTGGCTGTTTATGACTGTGATGATGTCACTTCAGTAATCATTTGGGTCACCTTTCCCTGCAGGCCCGGAGGAGTCACCCTACCCTGCAGGCCCGGAGGAGTCACCCTACCCTGCAGGCCCGGAGGAGTCACCCTACCCTGCAGGCCCGGAGGAGTCACCCTACCCTGCAGGCCCGGTTGAGTCACCCTACCCTGCAGGCCCGGAGGAGTCACCCTACCCTGCAGGCCCGGTTGAGTCACCCTACCCTGCAGGCCCCGAGGAGTCACCCTACCCTGCAGGCCCGGTTGAGTCACCCTACCCTGCAGGCCCGGAGGAGTCACTTTTCCCTGCAGGCCCGGAGGAGTCACTTTTCCTGCAGGCCTGGACGAGTCACTTTTCCTGCAGGCCTGGACGAGTCACCCTACCCTGCAGGTCCGGAGGAGTCACCCTACCCTGCAGGCTCGGAGGAGCCACCCTTCCTTGCAGGCTTGGAGGAATTACCTTTCCCTGCAGGCCCAGAGGAGTCACTTTTCCCTGCAGGCCCGGAGGAGTCACTTTTCCCTGCAGGCCCGGAGGAGTCACTTTTCCTGCAGGCCTGGACGAGTCACTTTTCCTGCAGGCCTGGACGAGTCACCCTACCCTGCAGGTCCGGAGGAGTCACCCTACCCTGCAGGCTCGGAGGAGCCACCCTTCCTTGCAGGCTTGGAGGAATTACCTTTCCCTGCAGGCCCAGAGGAGTCACTTTTCCCTGCAGGCCCGGAGGAGTCACTTTTCCCTGCAGGGCCGGAGGAGTCACTTTTCCTGCAGGCCTGGACGAGTCACCCTACCCTGCAGGTCCGGAGGAGTCACCCTACCCTGCAGGCTCGGAGGAGCCACCCTTCCCTGCAGGCTTGGAGGAATCACCTTTCCCTGCAGGCTCGGAGGAATCACCTTTCCCTGCAGGCTTGGAGGAATTACCTTTCCCTGCAGGCTCGGAGGAATCACCTTTCCCTGCAGGCCCAGAGGAGTCACCATACCCTGCAGGCCCGGAGGAGCCACCCTTCCCTGCAGGCTTGGAGGAATCACCTTTCCCTGCAGGCTCAGAGGAATCACCTTTCCCTGCAGGCCCGGAGGAGCCACCCTACCCTGCAGGCTCAGAGGAGTCACCCTACCCTGCAGGCCCGGAGAAGTCACCCTACCCTGCAGGCCCAGATGAATCACCCTACCCTGCAGGCTCGGAGGAGTCACCCTACCCTGCAGGCCCGGAGGAGTCACCTTTCCCTGCAGGCTCGATGGAGTCACCTTTATCCGCAGGCTCGGAGGAGTCACCATTCCCTGCAGGCTCGGAGGAGCCACCTTTCCCTGCAGGCTCAGAGGAGTCATCCTACCCTGCAGGCCTGGAGGAGCCACCCTACGCTGCAGGCTTGGAGGAGCCACCCTACCCTGAAGGCCTGGAGGAGCCACCCTACCCTGCAGGCCCGGAGGAGCCACCCTAACCTGCAGGCCCGGAGGAGCCATCCTACCCTGCAGGCCCGGAGGAGCCACCCTACCCTGCAGGCCTGGAGGAGCCACCCTACGCTGCAGGCCTGGAGGAGCCATCCTACCCTGCAGGCCTGGAGGAGCCACCCTACCCTGAAGGCCTGGAGGAGCCACCCTACCCTGCAGGCCTGGAGGAGCCACCCTACGCTGCAGGCCTGGAGGAGCCACCTTACCCTGAAGGCCTGGAGGAGCCACCCTACCCTGCAGGCCTGGAGGAGCCACCCTACGCTGCAGGCCCGGAGGAGCCACCCTACCCTGCAGGCCCGGAGGGGCCACTCTACCCTGCAGGCCCGGAGGAGCCACCCTACCCTGCAGGCCCGGAGGAGCCACCCTACCCTGCAGGCCCGGAGGAGCCACCCTACCCTGCAGGCCCGGAGGAGCCACCCTACCCTGCAGGCCCGGAGGAGCCACCCTACCCTGCAGGCCTGGAGGAGCCACCCTGCAGGCCTGGACACAAGTCAGTGGATCTATATCCAGTGAGGTGGGCCTGCTTCTTACTTATTCTGGACAGGAGGGATGAAGTATGAGGTTTCCCAATAATAAGGTCGATGTCGCCATCACACGACACTTTCAGTCGATTTACTCCAGTGCGGGACTCATTCTCCACTTCAGTTTTCACTTAGGTGATGATTTAGAAGACACTCTAGTTTTCCTTGTCAATATAGACTGAGGAGAGCCCCAGGTGGTACAGAGGTTTTTTAAAACTTCTGCAATACTCCCGGCAACTGCTAGCGTCTGATGTCTGTATCTTTGTCTTGAAGATGATCTCGAAGTTACAGTGTGATAACGTATCCATATTTGTGTTGAACATGATAAAAAATGTTTCGATGTTTACTTAGCACACACAGGAAAGAAGTGAGGACTTCCTGCTTTCCGCATGTGTAGTTACATGAAGCCTGAGAATAGGGTTTACCTCACAACTAGTTCCAAGATAGTTGGCAGTGAAGAGGACATTGAAAATCTCAAAGATGTTATAGTGTCAACACAGCCAACAGGGGAAATTATGGCTCTGATGTAATATCAGGGTATTTGATGGAATTATAGTGAACATGATAATTAAGTATATTCTACAATATTCATGGTACTCAATATATAATGACTGAATTAGCCATGACCATAGCCTAGCCTACAGATGGCCATCTGGCCTCCATCTGTCAGGGAACCACTCACCTCCTTCCCCAGCGGCAGGGTGCTGCCAAGTGACGAACACAGTCCTACTATTTTGGCAATCAGTGTTCGAAATGTGAGGTATTCTTTAAGTACCACTCCTCTCAATATTGTCTTCATCTCCGGAATACCAGACCCTGCAGCAACAAAACATGTATTAAAAATACAAAAAATAATAATTTCACACAAAACAAGACATTTCACACAAAACAAAACAAAGCATTTTACACAAACAAAACAAGACATTTCACACAAAACAAAACAAGACATTTCACCCAAAACAAAACAAAACATTTCACACAAAACAAAACAAAGCATTTTACACAAACAAAACAAGACATTTCACACAAAACAAAACAAGACATTTCACCCAAAACAAAACAAAACATTTCACACAAAACAAAACAAGACATTTCACACAAACAAAACAAGACATTTCACACAAAACAAAACAAGACATTTCCCACAAATAAAATAAGACATTTCACACAAAACAAAACAAGACATTTCCCACAAATAAAATAAGACATTTCACACAAAACAAAACAAGACATTTCACACAAATAAAACAAGACATTTTACACAAAACAAAACAAGACATTTCACACAAACAAAACAAGACATTTCACACAAAACAAAACAAGACATTTCACACAAAACGAAACAAGACATTTCACACAAACAAAACAAGACATTTCACACAAAACAAAACAAGACATTTCACCCAAAACAAAACAAGACATTTCACACAAAACAAAACAAGACATTTCACCCAAAACAAAACAAGACATTTCACACAAACAAAACAAGACATTTCACACAAAACAAAACAAGACATTTCACACAAAACAAAACAAGACATTTCACACAAAACAAAACACAAAACAAGACATTTCACACAAAACAAAACAAGACATTTCACACAAAACAAAACAAAACATTTCACACAAAACAAAACAAGACATTTCCCACAAATAAAATAAGACATTTCACACAAAACAAGACATTTCACACAAAACAAATCAAGACATTTCACACAAACAAAACAAGACATTTTACACAAAACAAAACAAGACATTTCACACAAAACAAAACAAGACATTTCACACAAAGAAAACAAGACATTTCACACAAAGAAAACAAGACATTTCACACAAACAAAACAAGACACTTCACACAAAACAAAACAAGACATTTCACACAAAGAAAACAAGACATTTCACACAAAGAAAACAAGACATTTCACACAAAAGAAAACAAGACATTTCACACAAACAAAATAAGACATTTCACACAAAAGAAAACAAGACATTTCACACAAAACAAAACAAGACATTTCACACAAACAAAATAAGACATTTCACACAAAACAAAACAAGACATTTCACACAAACAAAATAAGACATTTCACACAAAACAAAACAAGACATTTAGATTAAATGTTTCTCTTAGAGTGTGCAGGCCGTGACAGTGGGCACTTAAACTGCAGGACTTGTTATCGATGGTGTCACCGAAAAATAAATGAAAGAACTACAAGTACCAGTAATCATGTTACCGGTAACAACTTTGATCAGCAATAGAAGCCATTGAGGTGTAACACCAGGTGTTCACATATGACATGACACCCAAGTCCCATGAGGAGCAGAATGACTAGTCCTGATTTCCTCTGTCTTGTTGAATGTTGAAAGTATGTTGAATATAAATGACACAGGATTTCCTTACCCACAGCTTGTGGTGAGACGAGATGTGTGAAGCCTGTGGCAAATAAAATAAACAGCACAGAGTAGGAGATCCAGGCGAAGTACTGCAGCGCGATGGAGAACTCCAGCTCCTTGTATAGCCAGAACTTGGCTGAAACAGACATAGAATTATCACACACAGAACGTCATGTTTGTTTGTTGTTTAACGCAGCACTCTGCAATATTCCAGCTACATGACGGCGGTCAGTAAATAATTGAGTCCGGACCAGACAATCCAGTGACTGACATCATGAGCATCGATCTACGCAGTTGGGATACGATAACATGCATCAACCAAGTCAGCGAGCCTGACCACCCGATCCCATTAGTTGCCTCTTACGACTAGCATAGTTGCCTTTTACGGCAAGCATGGGTAAATATGAAACGTTTTGTGTTTTAGAGCTAATACCATCATATTTTCCATACTTTAACATGGTCTTCGACAGTCGTGACTGACCAACCAGGGCCTTGCTCCACAAAGTCATCTTAGCACTAATACCATCGTATTTCCCATACTTCAACATGATCTTCGACAGTCACGACTGACCAACCAGGGCCTTGCTCCACAAAGTGATCTTAGCACTAATACCATCGTATTTCCCATACTTCAACATGGTCTTCGACAGTCGCGACTGACCAACCAGGGCCTTGCTCCACAAAGTGGTCCTAGCACTAAGACAATTGTTATTATTGTTATTATCATTGTTATCCAATGTCAGACTGTCGCATGTAAGTAACAAGGGTCCATCTTACATACACTATGCATCCTCATGAAGAATAAATCTCATAAGAATAAAACCTATACTGGTATGTTGATGGGTAAGTCCTGCACTTGTCACACACACCTTCCTGACACTTCTCTATGACATAGTCCATGGAAAAACTCAAGAACGCCATGAGAACGCCCAGCAGGGCTAAGAACAGCCAGTCCTCGCCGATCTTCCTGAATATAAAGTCCTTTACAGCTGAACATCGTTCTGAAAGGTAAACAGAAGGTAACAGTTACATGCAGAACCAATCTCATTGAAATCTGACCTTTTACTCCGATCGATATCACTCTGCAGCGGTACTGTCATATGAATCCTCATCAAACATTGACTGTCAGCTTTCAATGAAGATTCAAATTCATTTCTTTTATACCACCTCAATTCAGAATTTTCAAACCCACACAGAACACAAGAATTCCTTTGCTGGAATCCCCTTTAGGATGTAGATGCAATGGTGCTTCTAAACAACAGGGTGTATAATATATTCACAATAATATAATGGTGCTGCCTTTTTTATCTACATTAGGAACTTGTTGTTGTAGTTCATCTTTGAGATACAGAAATCAGACATTTACTGGACTGAATGATTTGTTAACTGGTACTGGAGAAGCCTCGATGGTGATTAGAAAGTTCAGCTGACGCGACCTGTAGAGGTGTTCTCAGATGTTCAGGCAGAGAGTTGTCTAATCAGAGTTCAGCTGAGAAATAGCAGCCAGCCGCTAGCCAAATGCTGGTCACGTAATGCTGGGCTAGTACACGTATGGCAAAGCTGTCTAGTTGAAACTTCTAGTCATTACTTATATACTTCTAGTATTTTATTTGAATCATCCAGTCAGTTCAGGAGTCACTTAATGTCAAAGTCTGCTGTCATCTTTTCATTTCGTAGACTACTGGAAACAGTTTTTGACTGTACACTGATGTACATGCGTTATAAGCGATGCGTGTGAAAGTCTAAGAACCACCACAAACATGTTGTACCAGCCATCTAATCAGCTTCGCTGTTGTTTTCAGATCAGTACTCAAACCTGTTTTGCCAGTATGCCATACCCTGGACTATACTGTATTTATATATCTCACATTCCACAACTAACAACACTCTATGTCTTACTTAAGTAAACCCATATTCCGGACGGTGGTTTCTCCTCGTTTCTCTGTAACTTAGCTTCTTTCTTCAACCTCTTCGCAGTGAACTTGGCGAATGACCCGAGCTCTCTGGTGTATCTGCCGTACAGCTGAAGGAAAAAGAAACAAGAGTGAAGGACCTGCTTCAACAGGATCGTACAGCCACGTCGTAGACAAGGTTTATACAGATATGGAACACTAACATTCAAGGCCTTTTTTTAAACCTTCAAAAGTAATTTTTAAGGCTTTTTATTAGCCTCAATCTGTCAATATTTTTTTAAATCCAGCAAACAATATATTAGTCATACAACCTAGGTAGCAGTATGAACATCACAAACTTCCTAACAAGATTTATTTTCACAACCAAAAAATAAAACAAATTAAATCCTGTTGTGGTCTTTGGCACATACATTTATCACTGTGATGAGACACTTTTCCTTCATTAAGTACATGTCTATGTCATGTTGCACAAATTCATGGCTTTCCAAGATATTTTGGCCATTTTCCTGTCTTTTCAATGCTGACACTAAAAATGAAGGATTTTCAAGAGGGACTTCATAATTCAAGGACCTTTAAGCCTGTATGAACCTTGCTAGACAGTGGTGTACTGACACAGACAGGAGGGGGTGAGGGGGGGATGGGGGGGGGGGGGGGGGGAGGGAGAGTAACAGGCATGCTGCTTTGTGCTTTGCATCAATCCTTTGCTCTCTCTCACTCTCACTTTCTGTCATGATACATAAACAGCACAGCCACTATACGATACACACACGATACACACACGATACACACACGATACACACACAATACACAAGCAATACACACATGAGATACATGATACACACAAGATACACACACAATACACACAAGATACACATACAATACACCAATGATACATGATACACACAAGATACACACACAATACACACAAGATACACATACAATACACACAAGATACACATACAATACACACAAGATACACATACAATACACACAAGATACACACACAATACACACAAGATACACATACAATACACCAATGATACATGATACACACAAGATACACACACAATACACACAAGATACACATACAATACACCAATGATACATGATACACACAAGATACACACACAATACACACAAGATACACACACAATACACCAATGATACATGATACACACAAGATACACAAAAGATACACACACAATACACCCATGATACATGATACACACAATACACACATGATACATGATACACACAATACACACATGATACATGATACACACATGATACATGATACACACAAGATACACATACAATACACACAAGATACATACACAATACACCAATGATACATGATACACACAAGAAACACAAAAGATACACACACAATACACCCATGATACATGATTCACACAAGATACACACACAATACAATAATTTTTTTTATTTGAAGTTTACACGATATACAGCTTTTCCATTGGATGAGAGGTCGGTCACATGACCGCGAAATTGACGTTCATAAATGTTCTCGAAATGACATAAACACTCACGGACTACTTCCACATTCCTGGGGAAACCCCTGGGAATTCCCTAGTATGAAAACATACATAAGCGTTCTTTCTGATCATTTAGAACCTTTGTTCTTGGTCTCAGCGTTTCAGTTTACATTGAGAAATGTCAGAGAGCGTGACTCATGATTGTTCACGAATATCCTCGCTACGGCCCATCCTAATGAACAAACGAAGAAATGCACATCTAAACTATTGTAGTATCGACTCGAATCGTGTCTAGGCTGACAATGACCGTCTCCAGCAATCTATGAATTTACCTTAGTGTCTGTTTGACGCATCTTTATTCACCTTTCAATGATCGGCCAGTTGATCAATGATGACTAACACATGTAACCATGTAAACGCCACAGATTCATTAACAACTTCGGAAATCTCTCACGTCACGTTTATCGTGTCGGCCATTTTGACGTCTTGTACTTGATGTAAATGTAGTACGATGCGCTGTCATTGTGACTGACTTACTGAGGTAGCTCTTTACAGACCTTTCTCATCTAATGAGGATATGATTTGAGTCACACGTACTAAATAAAATTGTGTTTAGACCTTGGCCTACATCCTTTGAGGTAAGAGATTGTGATAAAAAATTATAAGAATTGACTTTCACTTTGTGTGAGAAAAGGCCAAACATTGTATGAACGTCGTCGCAAGCTCCGACGTTCATAGTTTCGCCCTCACTCTATGAAGGTTCATACTCCAATGAACTCACACAAAGTGAAGGTCAATTCTTAAATACACACAGATAATGTATTTCCATGTTGTTGCCAACAATATAAAGATACCAAATTATTCACATTTGTCCTGTTATTACATTGTCTGATTTAAAAATATGTTCATTGTATACCTAGCTTTATGTTTCTAATGTATAATAATGATTACTTTGATTTTATCATGTTTATTCAAAATTGCATTTTATGTTTTTGATCTACAATCATAATGACCATGATTATACTTATTCAAAATTGCATTTAATGTTTTCAATCTATTATTATGGTTACATCAATTTTATTCCAAATTACATTCAACATGTGGAATATTGCAGAGCTCCAGATAAGCTGCGTATCTGCGTAAAATACGCATCAGACATTGTCAGAAATGCAGAAATATGCAGTAAAATAAAATCCAAGCGTATCAAATACGCGACGAACATTACAGATACGCTACAAAAATAAAACTTGTGCGTATCATCAAAATATTGTGAAGTAACCCTGCATATTCAATTAGCAAATCTGCAACTTATTTTGAAATTATAAACTGGTATTCTGTCAACCTTGCCAAACTCCACGATGACAGTTACATCGTGGTATTTTTGAGTCCTATAAAGCTCTCGAACCCACACGACACTAGTTTGCAGGGACTAGATGAAATTATAGTGTTTTTAAATATATTATACACTAAAATTTCAATTTTTACTGAACTTGTACCAAGGAACGGGGAGGCATTCTACTCATGTATGCATTGAACACAAGAAATATGAAAGTATTTGCATGGCAACAGCACAAAGGTCATCCAGCAATGATGATAGTATTTGTGTATGAAATGCAATTGTATTTATACATCCAACTAATGAAATACCTGTATCTACACATGACCTACCAATGAAATACTTGTATTTATACACGACTTACCAATGAAATACTTGCATCTTCTTGTATCTATGTTTCAGAGCATGCTAAGGGATCAGTTCAAAAGTTTGATGTGGGATAAAAAACTTAATTCCTCAAGTTTTGAGACATACCCCACATCCACCCCCCAAAAACGTAATTGTGAAAATCTGGACTTCTTGAGTTTAGTGGCCTCTCTTGTTACTCATTTTCATGTTTTGCCCTGCTTTTTCAGGACTTTTATCAGGTGAAGTTAATAAGTACATTTCTATGGCGCCAAATTCTATACACTCAGTGAAAGTTTATATAGTCATAGCCCTACATTGATTACATTCAGGGGCGGTCGGGTAGCCTAGTGGTTAAAGCGTTCGCTCGTCACGCCGAAGAACCAGGTTTCTTGAAGGTCTGTGAGATATGCAGGGGCATTATTATGATTATTATGGACAAAATCCACCTGTCAGTATTCTTGCAGGTCTGTGAGATATGCATGGACATTATTATGATTATTATGGACGAAATCCACCTGTCAGTATTCTTGCAGGTCTATGAGATATGCATGGACATTATTATGATTATTATGGACAAAATCAACCTGTCAGTATTCTTGCAGGTCTGTGAGATATGCATGGACATTATTATGATTATTATTATGGAAAAAATCCACCTGTCAGTATTCTTGCAGGTCTGTGAGATATGCAGGGGCATTATTATGATTATTATGGACGAAATCCACCTGTCAATATTCTTGCAGGTCTGTGAGATATGCAGGGGCATTATTATGATTATTATGGACAATATCCACCTGTCAGTATTCTTGCAGGTCTGTGAGATATGTAGGGGCATTATTATGATTATTATGGACGAAATCCACCTGTCAGTATTCTTGCAGGTCTGTGAGATATGCAGGGGCATTATTATGATTATTATGGACAAAATCCACCTGTCAGTATTCTTGTAGGTCTGTGAGATATGCAGGGGCATTATTATGATTATTATGGACGAAATCCACCTGTCAGTATTCTTGCAGGTCTGTGAGATATGCAGGGGCATTATTATGATTATTATGGACAAAATCCACCTGTCAGTATTCTTGCAGGTCTGTGAGATATGCAGGGGCATTATTATGATTATTATGGACGAAATTACCTGTCAGTATTCTTGCAGGTCTGTGAGATATGCAGGGGCATTATTATGATTATTAAGGACGAAATCCACCTGTCAGTATTCTTGCAGGTCTGTGAGATATGCAGGGGCATTATTATGATTATTATGGACAAAATCCACCTGTCAGTATTCTTGCAGGTCTGTGAGATATGCAGGGGCATTATTATGATTATTATGGACAAAATCCACCTGTCAGTATTCTTGCACTGGGTTGTAATCCAGTTGCCACGTCCTGAACAGATTGTGGTCCAGAGACGAGGTCTTTTGTGATGTTGCTGAACAGACTGCTGCAATAATAGGATTCAGCAGTCTAAGGGTTAATTACACCATAAAGCATAATGCTCTGCTAAACATGCTAAATGGCTATTGTGATATGTGTACTTAAACAATTGTCAAATACAATTATTTTCTTACCAGAAACATATCAAAACAATCACAAAACTCAACATGTTCAATGTATTTGTTTCATGACAAAAGCATATATTTCTTACCCCTCCTATAACTCAGTCAGTGTGCACGTTGCACCCAGATAACTGCACCCAACTCACATGGTGTGTTACCATGGTTACATCAAATGAGAAGCAAACAATCTGGCAAGTCAACACTCAGGGTGGACGCCACACCCACCTTCTCATCACTCTGGAATGTAAGCCAGCAACATCCCACAAATTCTTGACATAAATAATTGAAAGGACTTGATATTTTCAAAGCAAAGAAAATACACGACAATCATCTGTTTAATACCAGTGGCAGCATGTGTAAGACCATAGTGTTGTTTGTTGTTTAACAACGCACTCAGCAATATTCTAGTGGTCTGTAAATAATAGAGTCTGGGCCAGACAATCCAGTGATTGACATCATGAGCATCGATCCACGCAATTGGAATATGATGACATGCATCAACCAAGTCAGCGAGCCTGACCACCCTATCCCGTGAGTCGCCTCTTACGACAAGAATACTCGCCTTTTAGGGCAAGCATGGGTTGCTGAAGACCTATTCTACCAAGCTGTCTATCGATGACTTGTAGCAAGTGTAAGACACCATCATGCTGTTCCAAACTGTCAAGGGAACAACAATCTATTAGGGATGGCAGTTTTAGCAGCTTGCATTCCAAGCCATGAAAACGATAAAGCAGCATAGTTGGAGGAAAGGTAAGTATTGATGTGACACATACGAGTTACCTACACCGACATCGGCAGATCAATCCTGTCAATAACAACACCTCCTCCTCTTTACAACATCAGCAGAGGACACAAGCTGTCATAAACAATGATGTAAAATTGAATTCAGAAATTTTTTATATCCATCGCATTTCTGCAGGTTTGTGAACATGTGTGAGTGCAATTTCCTGGCGGCCGTCACTTTTGGCAGATGGCAACTCTGTGGCACCTTTTTTTGCGGACATGTGAAAATATAAATTTTCAGGATTACTTGGATCATGATTATCCACATTTTTTCTAATGATAACAGCAGGTTTAAAATTCCTTGTGTTTGTCATAATGGAGTGGCAATGGCTCTGTTGAAATTAAAATGGTAGCCTCAAAATAAGTTATAAGGGTACACTTAGAAATTCTGTTTTACTAAACAAACATGGATAAATTAGGAGATAAACAGGAGCGAACTCTTTGGTGAAGTGGCATGGGTAGAGTCCAGTGTTTTGAGTGGGTTATCGATCTGAATTACGGAATCACTGAACAAAATATGGCGCTGTATATACGCAAGCAGTTTGTTTACACCGTAATACTTCACTCAAACATATGACAGGCATTTAAAGTATATAAGCGCGGCAACTTCGTAAGCTAACATGAGGCGGGCATCCGTAAAGAAAACAAAGCAAGGTTTGCAAGGCTTTCGCTCTACATTGCACATCACCATTATGACGTCATATCGCTCATTGTGATGCAAAAGATATGGCGCCACAGTCGTATATAGAAAAGCGCCAAAATTCCAAGCTCTCTGTTGTCTCCAAAAAGTAAATGCATTCCCTTTGTAGATTTCTATTGTGTTTTCTGCACGAAATGTATTCCCACACATCCTTTGAATATAGTAGTAACCGCATCTGGGCATTTTGTAACCTGTAATTGTAGATATAATTATTTATATATGCTTACCGACAATGACTGAAAAATAGTACTTTTCTATGAATATTAGCTTCTGCAGTGATGCAGACGTCAAACCAGCTGTTTCAATCAGAGGGGATTTATTGTGATTTAATAGCCTGTGATTGACCAATCAGAATCGAGTAAATTCCAAAATCATGGTAGAATGAACTTTAATCTGGATGAACACGTGGGACATGAACATAACGAGTGGGGTTGGGTGGGGTGAGGTGGGGTGAGGCAAGGTGAAATGGGGTTTAACATTGTGTGAAAGAAAACTGGGCTTATATAGCAATGTGCATGCACATGTCTGTCTGTGTGTGAGTGAGTCACTGTTATCATGGTGAAATGACACTCCCCAAGATCGAAGATGGATCTGAAGTATTGTTCATGTTGGCAAACCTAACAGCCAGTGACACACCTGAACACCTTAACGAGTGCCTGTGGCAACCTTGAGAAGAGTATACATGTCTTTCCCTGTCGATTACGTTTTGAGATTGATCAATGGACGCTGTACATGATAAACTGCAGGTGTTCCAAGGTTAAATACACATCAATCAATGTGAAGAAATGTCCACCATACATATGATACATCACTTTGGATCCTTTGTTGTGTGGTTAATTCTAGTTATCTGGAAAAGCAGATATACCTAAATATTTTTTTATTTTTTTTGGTTTAACGTTGCACTCAACAATATTCCATCTATAGGGCGGCAGTCTGTAAATAATCGAGTCTGGACCAGACAATTCAGTGACTGACATCATGAGCATCAATCCACGCAATTGGGATACGATAACATGCTTTAACCAAGTCAGAGAGCCTCACCACGCGATCCAGTTAGTCGCCTCTTACAACAAGCATAGTTGCTTTTTACGGTAAGCATGGGTTGCTGAAGACCTATTCTAACCCAGATCTTCACGGGTGACCTAAATATTAATGTGACTGATGATCTTTAGTCAGGGTGATGACATTCATGCTCAATACTGATCACTGTTAAGTATGATAAATTCAATGTCAGTGGATATGCACTGTTATGTCTAAATGATTGAGAATACATGTGAAAAACTCAACAAATTTAAGTACAACAGAAACTGAAAGTTCTCAGAATAAATCATCCACTCCAGGTCTCAGGCCTAAAAATGTCCTGTAGTTTAGAACAATCACCAGCATATGTTTCCAAGTTTCCGAACTGTGAGAAATGTGGCCAGTAAAGTGAAACCATCTCACCCATGTTTTACAGAAACATAATCACAAAAATACATTTAATGTAACCATGGTAGCAACTAAATGGTTCACATATCCTGTTGAGAAATATTTAGTAAATAACTTCCACACACACAAGGAGTGAAATCATCAAATCTTCTTATACTATTCATGCCAAGTCAAAAATCTGTCGGGAAACACACTTGCTACGGATGCAGTTTACTATTCACAAAAACTTAATAAAACGATTTGTTTTTGACAGAAGAGAGACTTTGCTCCATTCTAGGGCTAGACGTCAAAATTAGGGTCTGTATGAAACTGAGACATTGTCTCTGCTCAATTAAGGATAATCTTTAACTGCCTAATTGATCTGCATCGTGAAACTGAGCTAGCAGTGGACGTTTAATGACGAAGTCAAATTTGATCTAACTGTGGAAAGTCTAATCCCTCTCTCTGTTGGGCGTGTTGACTGTTACTGTATAATAAACAAATTGCGAGTTATTCCGTGGCATTTGATTGACTAACCAAACAATGTTTTTTACGTTTGTGTTACCATAAAACGAAAAAACAATAGGCCACACCCACTAACAAACTACGGTTTCCTGATTGGCTGATTATATAATGGACAGGGCTCTGAACGATGTCACTGTTATTGAACTGTTGTCTACCTGGATTTACACAGATAGCACACCAGATTTATGTTTAGAGCTCCAAAAAAATATTGAAGTCAATTCTTAATTGAATAAAGTGTTCAAAATTAAGCATGACAGTTAAAGGGTTCTTGTTATGACCCTGATGTTAGATGCCAAAGATTCATGGGGTCCCTAGATTAATATACCATGGCATGGGGATGGGCAGAAGTCTTTCCATTTTGTTCACTGATATTACAATTTTCCCTCTTTCGTTTCTAGATTTGCCTTCACAATATTATTCTTGGATTCCTTAGTTTTACCATAACTGTCTCAACTACCATAGCAGAGTCTCTCTGTTAAGGGTTTGCCCGTGCTGGAACACATTCAGGCGTTTTAGGGGGCGTTGTTATGAGTTATTAGTATTCAGGCTGGCAAATGTTTCCGGTTATATTACGTATCTGTTTACGCTTTATTTCCCCTTGTGTTTGCTTTAGCCTAGTCGACTTGAGCGTGGATTTGTGATCAAAACCATGCACTCAATGAACTAAGCATGATACAAACAACAGGCTAGTCAAGCTAATTACAGTGCCGAAATGAGGGTTCGTTGAAATGATGTTAATAATCCACACGTTATAGCATCTGCGACACATCATGGCACGAAATAAGGGTACGTGCTGGTCAATTCGTGAGTCCCAGCTGATGGATAACACGTTGCTGTCAACAACATGACAATCCCGGACAAATAATGAACGTAAGGATCACATTTAGGGACTTTGTGTTAGTTGACTTCGTTAGGTCTTCTTGTGTGAAATTCTAACACTATCAATCCCCGGCAACAACAGACACCACACATTATCGCACTTACCAAGGTTTGCTCGTATCCAAACTTCTGACGTTCCGCCATCTTTGAAGCGCCCTCTGCCGGTAATCCAATGCGCGCGGTTGATTGGCTAAAAGTACATCGCTGAAAGTGAAGTAAATGTTACATAAGAATCTTCAAAACTGGCAAAGTTCATAAAATTTAGAAAGAATAAAAACAACCGAACTGTAATAAATATCTACCTGTCATAAAGCAAATCATTTCTTAAACGAACTTAACTAAGTTGACTAAACAGATTTCATTTGAGTTCTGACAATAAAATATTATTACCTTTTAATTAAAAATTCACAAAAATGTTATTCATTAAGAAAATGTGGTAGTTTCGTTTGATATCCTGTTCGATATCAAAGTAACCTATTCAAAAGTATTTATCATCTTTTAAAACACCGTATGGCAACAGCTGGGGTACAGCCGCGAAACATGTTTACCATATTATACAGCGTACATAGAGTGACTGGGTACCGTCTTTCCCTCGCTGTGATTGCAAACTGCCGAATAACACGTTGTGCATTGTCAAATATGTCACTGTCATGACGTAATTAGCACCTCAAGGACTGATTGACAAGTGCTGATTTCACATGACCGAGTTCACATCAATCACAGCCAAGCTGAAGGACTTGTTTATCAACATTTTGGCTCTATGTAAATTAGCTAACAAAGGAAGCGGGCGCGAAGGCCTCGCCAGCCGCCCGGTGTCATAGCAGTAAAAGGATTTGAAAGAAAATAGCAAAGGAAAAAATATGAGTTAGTTGTTCATTCGGTGATTCAAATCTGAAAGTTTCATTTCTGTCAATTAAAGTGGACATAATCAGTGTTGCCATCATCATCATCATCATCATTGTTCTTGGTTATCTTATACTCATTCTTAATATCATCATCGACCGCCTCCGTGGTCTTGTGGTAGAGGGTTCGATCCCCGGCCGCGTCATACCAAAAGAAGTTAAAAGATGGTACTTGTTGTTACCCTGTCAGGCGCTCGGCATTAAGGGGCTAAAACAAGGACTGGTCGGTTCGGAGTCAGTATACTGTGTCTGAGTGGGGTATTCATGTTAAACTGCGGCAGGGTATCTCAGTGGGCTAGCACTATTAATCGGCATCTGTCCGTACTAGTACAAGCAGCCACACACACACACACACACACACACACACACACACACACGTGCATGTACGTCGCTATGTAAGTGCAACAATCTTGGACGCGACGTTAAACCCCATTTCACCACACCTCTTAATGTCATCATCATCATTATCATCATCAGCTTCAAGGTTGTTTCGCTGTCAAGGCTAAAAATAAACCACGTGTTTGCCTACCCCAACGTACGTATGGCACTGGTTTACATATACTCAACAAACAATTAAACTCACAATATTCAGACTGAGGTTTGTTTATTGATAGTCTGACCTCTTTCTGTCCCGACAACACTCATCGGAGCTGTCGTAAATTGACTGCGTACTGCGCACGCTCCGACGTTGATGAGGCATCACGAGTTAACATATGACAGACTTGCTGGGGACACTTTCTTGAACATTTTGAACTAGTGGTAATTTCTCGGGAGTTCCAAAAAGAACAAACATAAACAAAAGGGATAAACAAAGAACACAACAACCATCGAAGCTGCAGAAATTCTGAAACAAATACACTAAAGACCGATCAAAATTACACGTAAACATCGGAATTAAATTATTTTATGTGTGTTTTATGTATATACACACACACATACACACATGTATATAGGAGAAGTACTTAGAGATGCAATAAGTAGTTTTCTTTGTACCAGGTTATCACATACATGCACAGACTTATACACACATATAGCTCGACACACCTATCGTGTGTAGCATTCTTGGAAAATAGGTATATTAAGTGAGCATATTTCTTATTTTTTGCACATTGAATAGGTATAAACAGAGATCACTTATTGTTTGTGTATTTTGAGTGTTCATAGCATTTAGGAATATACTTACTGCACTGTCATTTCTGATGTATTTACTAATATACCTTTTTTTCTAATATAGGTATATGCATTACATACAATTAAAACTTGAATCTCGTCTTCTAAGTACATTTTGTCATTTAGCCTACAATGAGGACATAGTCTTAAATGGCATGGTATATTAGTGTATCTTCCTTTTTCTGTCTTAAGTCTAAAATTGCCACATCTAAATCTTGTGAAACAAATTCTCAAACGTAAAGGAATAGCAATGCATAAGTATGTTTCCACGTGTAAAAGTGTCTTATATAACATATAGTTGGCATATGTATGAGAAGATAGTAGTGTAGAATACCAGTTTTGTTTAAAATTATCAAGATGTCTTATTTTAATTTATCGGATACAAAAATGTTAATATTCCCAACTTCATGCCTAATCCATACAAAACTAAACCCAAATTGGAATAGAATATGTTTGATATGTGTAGCCCATGTGACTCTGCCAGCATCATCAAGAGACTTTAACATTGAATAACATTGATGACGTAGCCTATTTCTATCTAGAGTGATTAATCTACACCAGTACTTAACTGCCCGTGACATGTTTATAAGCTGAAGTGTTGCAAATGGAGAAAATCCCAGCACAAATCATAGCGAGTTAATGTGTTGGGTCTTAGGCCGATTTAAAAAATATTCCAGCAGGAGCCACCAATGTGGGGAATCGAACCCGGGCCTTGAGCCTTGAGCACATGTATGACAAGAGTCGTACTTCAAATAAACACCCCACGGCAATGAACAGTTGTTTGACGTCATTTGAAGATATATTATAACGGATTTTCTTTATGTCGGTCACGACACGCATAAGGCTTAGCAACAACTATCTCTATCATCTGAAATGTAAACAAAGCCGATTTTACGGGTCACTGACTTTGAGCCAATCGTGAACAAATTTACACACCTGATAAGGAATGATGATGAGCTTGGGAAAGCAAGGTCACGTGATCTCATATAAAACTTAACCTCTGAACTATCAAGGCTCGAGAACCTCTCAGCCCATGTGACCTGCAGACTTAAAACAAATAACACGTGCAATCAAATGTATGCTGTAATAGGACCTATGGACAGAGGGGTATTTTATTTGAGTCAAAGTCTACCAGAAATAAATTATATATATATAAATATATATTTGAAAAATATCTATATCAAAGTATGCCGCCATCTGGGATGAGTGAGTTAGTGAGTATGGTTTACGCAGCTTTTAGCAATATTCCAGCAATATCACGACGGGGGACACCAGAAATGGGCTTCACACATTGTACCCATGTCGGGAATCGAACCCGGGTCTTCGGCGTGACGAGCGAACGCTTTAACCACTAGGCTACCCGACCGCCCCTCCATCTTGGATGAAGATAAAATAAATTGGTATGGGGCTATCTTAGATTTTCGACATTCTTACGATAATTTGGGGCTACGATAGTTTCGAAAATAGGCTGCGAAGGTCTACGATTTCCCTACGATAGCTTTACGATAATTTTAGGGCAAAGATTCGAAAATCTGGACCCTGATCCTAAATACGAAGGATGTGCAGTATATCTGTAACAGTTTGCCGAGAACACTACTTTCATATCTTACAGGATGCATTTGTACTAAATAGACAACCTGGCATCAAAGTGATTACGTATTCTCTGTCAACACGGACAAACTTGGCTAACGCTCTGCCATCAAGTATCTCCAGCATCCAGACATGATGGTCTTTGTTATGTAGTTGGCTGCGGAGTTCAAGAGGGGAAGAGAGAGCCCCAGAGATGCTCCAGGATCAGCAAGACTGCCACAGCTAAGGAAATATTGATATAATATACAAGATATTACGAATGATCGACGGCTCGCCACACGTCACCCAGCCAATGCATGGGCATTTCTCTAGAGAGCGTTGAGGACATTCTGAGGAATGAACTGAGCATGACCAAGGTTTCAGCACGCTTGGGTCGAAGGTTTCTGACTGTGATCAGAAACGACCCAGGTTCACCATTTCTCGTGAGAATTTACGTCATTTTGAAGCAGACACAGCAGATTTTGATGGGCGATTTTTAACCATGGACGAGTCTTGGATTCACCGCTTTCCCTACAAACAGTGGAACCATCCAACGTCTCCTCCGAAGAAGGCAAAGTCTGTTCCATCAGATAGCAAGGTGATGGCTTCGTATTTTTCTGGGATTCCACTGGAATTCTACTGTTGACTACTTCCCGAAAGGGCAGACCATTAACGGCCAATATTATGCTAATCTGCCAGGCGACATGGCAAGAATATCAAATCTAAACGTTGTGGAAAACTCACCAAAGGTGTGTTGCTCCTCCAGGACAATGCTCCTGTGCGCAAGTCTGTTGTTGCCATGGCTACACTACCGGGCTGTGGCTTTGGACTCATTGAACATCCTCCGTATTCACCAGATTTGGCAGGCAATATGCAAATGACGATGACATCAATTTTGCTGTGGAGGACCTTTTACACCACCAGGAGGTCAATCATTAGCCAACCAGAAGGCAGCATTCTCGTGCTTTACGGCATTAATTTCAAATTGGCGACTACGCTTCGAAACATATTTTGACAAGTTCTCGATAACAAATTTGAAACCTGAACAAAAGAACATTCTGGAATGGCTAATAGAGGGTCTAGATTGTATGTATTCAGTCGTTAAGCCCGTAACTATCGTTCGGAATACCCCGTGTTAAAGTTTTCGAGATTGCATGATTAGAAATCACATTCCGACTGTAACTTTCATGATCTGCATGGTAAGCGACGCTCTGGTTGGTCGGATGAAAGGTCGTTCTGACGTGACCCCTAATGGGATGTCTTCAGATCTTTGTTTAGCGGAAGCGAGAACTAAGATCTGATTTTAATGAGATTGGTTTGGCCCACGACACAAACACGTTATTTGACAAGAAAAGACGCATGTTCTCGCTATTAAGCGCCGTTTTAGTTAGTCAGTCTTAAGAACATTCTGTCATTGAGGCAGACTGGAAGTAGTTCCGGCATACAGTTATATTGCACTCGAGTAGTGTATTCATACACGTTCATGTCAGTGCACTGTGTCATCTCGGCATACACAATAAGCACGGCAAGTTCATGCCAGTCCGTGTGCACTTACCAGAAGCG